ATTTAACTAGTACACAAAAATATAAATAATATAATATAAAGAATTGATACAGTAATGTAAATTCTTATTGGGTTTATATGTGTGTGTTTGATTTATTTAATATAAAATTTTGTGTTTAACTTTTATTATGTGTAAAATTTCAAATTATATTAATGTAAATTACATATTATCAATAATTTAGTATAAAAATATTTTTATTGATCTAATCATTAAATTATAATTATATATTATTTAAATTATTTGTATTAAATTATGTTAAAATTAAATAACTAAAAGAATGAAATCAAAATATTCTTATTTTCATATATTTTAAACATATATATTATCTTAAATTTGATGCTTATCAATAAAGTATTAAATAATTTTAAAATTTTCAAATATAATGTATGTGGTTAAAAATTTTAATTTAACAGTTAATTTTAAAAATAAATTGTTTAATAAAAAATTGTTAAACAATATATGAGTAAATATAATTTATATTGAGATAAATTGATATATATATATATATATATATATATATTTATATATTTTTGAATTTTGATGGGAGTGACACTCAGAGAGTTTTTCTTTCTTTAATTGAAAGTTTTTTTAATTCATAGAAAAAGTGAAAGAGAAAAATTATCTTAGGATATGTTTGATTTCTTTTTTAAAAAGAGTTTTTAATTTTTTTCTAAATATAGTATAGATTTATACTATATTTAAAAAAAATTAAAAATTCTTTTAAAAATAGAAAACAAATATTCCCTTATACTTTTTAACATGTGTATTATCCTTCTAAACTAAAAAAATCGAAAAAATAATTCTAACAAAAACAATAATTATATATTAACTGCATGTGCTTATCGTTTGGTTAGGTGGTTTAAATTTAATAGAACTACACGTAAAGTTCCCAGGAAAATATACAATTTTAATTATAGGAGAAAGAAATATTTTAAGAATTTTATTTCTCCGATACTTAAAAAGTTACATTTAGCCTCGACACCTTATTAAATTTTTACCAAAACAAAGAGAGAAAATAAGCTGTAATATTTTTTTATTATTAAAAATAGACTAGAAGACTAAATTATGCCAAAAGATTTTAAAAAATCATTTTTATTTATTTTTATAATAAAACATATTTTCATTAAAAAAATGTTAAAATTAAGAGTATGTTTGTTTTCTATTTTTAAAAGAGTTTTTGATTTTTTTTCTAAATATAATATAAATTTATACTATATTTAAAAAAATATTAAAAATTCTTTTTAAAAGAGAAATCAAATATATCATAAGTCTTGACGCTTTCTTCGCTAAGGTGAATATTTACTATTTAGTTTAGTTTGAATAATGTATATGATTTTCCTTTATTGATTTAATCTTTTTTTTTTCGTTCAAATGAGTGTTCATTAATATTCTTAATGTTTTATGAGTTGATTAGTCATAAATTGAACTTGTGTATTATGTAGGAAATTGACAAATTTATGCATGACTTAGGTCATATAATAAAGATCATTATCATTAATTGTTGGGCAAGGAAGAGGCTTGTGATTTTGTGAGATTTACTATGAGACTACACTTCATGAATCTCTATTGCCTTTATTCTTAGAAAATAAATTAATTAGGTCTAAAGAAAGGGGATTAATACACGAAGAAATTATATATTAGTTAATTTAAAGAATTCCCATTAAATAATTAGATCTCAGTCAGGTTAAAATTCAAAATACTAGTTAGAAAAACCAAACTAGTACATTCAATATCATACCTACTCTCTTGCTACTGTGATTTTCACTGTTTTTCAAGTTTTTTTTTCATATATTTCTTTATAGTTATTCTTTAAATTGAATCATTGAATTAAGTGCTTACATCAATCTCTACTACTTAGGTTAGGATCATATATTAGCCACAGTCAAGAGTATCCAATTCGTGTACGTAAGAAGAGGAAAAACCGATTTACATTTCAATAAATTTTCAGGAGTAACATGGATTTAATTATTTGTATCACTTGTCATGTGAATTTTTTATATTTTTAAGTTTTATTTGAAATTTTGAAAAAAAAAAGAGAAAAAAATATTTAAAAAGTTTAGGATGAGAGAAAAATGAAAGTTAAACTTCACCCTTACTTAAATTTTTATTGAAAGAAAAAGATAATTGAATATTTAACATGTAATTAATATTATTACTCAAAAATATTTTTTATTCGTATATTTTTTTATTTTTTAAATACAAAAATTAATTTTTTTATCTAAAAATTAGTATTTTAAAATTTTTACTTTTATAAATTAAAAAATACTCTAAAAAATAATATTTTTAAATAAAAAAATATTTTTTATTGTTTTATTATTCTATTCTAAATCATGTTAAATATTTAATCTAATAAATATAAATATAAACTATAAATTTCACTACATGAGACACTGAAATCTTTCAAAATGAAAAAACTCACCAGAACAAAGTTAAGAGAGTTTAGAGGATCTTAAAAAAAAATTAATAATCCTTTTCTTCATATTTAAATAACTTCTAATAAGTAATAGTGTTTTTAAACATAAAATTCAAACAAAGATTCAAGCGATTTCATCCAACAACTAACATCATAAATTGCTATTTATTACTTAAAAAAATAAAATAAAATGACACCATATCTTATGAATTAAATGACTTTTAATTTTGGTTAAGAAGTACATGTACAAGGAAAAGCAAACCAATACTTTAGTAGTTATATATAATTAATCACTTACAATTAAACCAATAAGAAAAGTCAAACATTTAAAACTCATTAAAGAGCTTTCAATGTCATACCGTATTTGGTTAACCTTTTTCATTGTTTATCAACTCTAAGTAAGTTGTGTCTCTACCCCTAAATGATCTCGTGCATATATATAGTTAAGCCTATTTGATTCATCTCATCCTATTGTTTGTATTCATTTGTCCCGAATCAACTATACAAACTACATATTTTATAAGGTGGTAGTTATCACGCACTACCATCCAATTTTTTCACCAACATTACCAATTTGATATATAACTATCGTGACGTTGATCATTCGTCATATTTTGTAACCTATGAAAACCACTCTTTTCTCCTTTTGTCTGCATCCATTCCTCTTTTCGTCAACCATTTTCTTTTTCCTTTTCATTCTCAAATTTCATTATATTATCTTGTGTATAAGCCATGTGAGTGAGTGGTCCTTTCACTAGTTTAAAGGGTATGATAACGGATGGAGCTTGAGTCCCACTTATACAAAGACAAAGATGGTGTGGTATACATGAGTAGGACCAACTATTATAGCACACCCACTTGTTTGTGATCCTTTGCCGTGTACAACTAAGCCAGTAACTGGTACAAGGTAGGTATGGTATATATGATGAAGATGGATAAGCCATGACTTAATTTTTCTACTGGGGATTCTTTTTTTGTCTTGAATTTTATGTACTTTGAACCTAATTATACTCTATCCCCGAGACTCACACTTAAATATTACAATAATTCGCATGCTTCACACTTGTTCATTTTGTCTCATACATAATATGTGTTTATTAATCTTCACTGAACAATTTGTTGAGTCAATTATTTATAAATTGTACCTTAAACTTGTCCGCTAACATACTGAGACTGGATCCTTTCGTGTTGAAATTTCACATGACAAAGTGTAAGTTTTGTGTTTGTCTCTCTCTTGATATGTATTAAGTAGATAAGATCATATAAAAATTAATAAATAGAAAGATAGATACAAAGTTTGCACATGACTTAATATGTCAGATAAGATGATATTATCTTGTAACATAATGGTGAGCTACAATGCTGGGTCGCTTAATATGCAAGATCAATAAGGGATGGAAAATTAAACCATCCATATAAAAAAAAATATTTGTTTTGCATGTTGCAACTGCATTTTTCTAATAATATTATTCCTGCTTAAATATTTTACGATAAAAGAGATATAAGAAAAGAAAAAAGTATAATAGAATAAGTGGTTGATATGATTGAGAGAAAAAAAAGGGAAAAAATGTAGAGAGTGGTAAAATATTTAGTAGAAATAACATTATCCTTTTGTAGGCATGTTGAGGGAAATGGGGGTAAACTCAAGTATCTATTCTTGCAATTGATTACTACTTGTTAGCTTCCTTAGAGTAGGGTATGGTTTGCTTAGGCAGGAAGCTCAAGGACAAGCAAACCCTCTGTGGTCTCCGGCCTCACGTTTTTCTTGTCAATGTGTTAAAGAATGTCTCATGATTCATGATGAATTATGAGTTGGAGACAGCCCCAACGCTCTACATTGTTGCTCAAACTCTACAACTTCATTCAAACCGAAATAATCATTGCATGCTATTAAATTTCTATCAACTACTTAGCAAAAAAATTAGTTCTATCAACTGCAGTTTTAGGTTCCCATATGCCAGAACACTACGAATTTCAAATGAAATTGGAAAAACAAATCTTTGTGCATCATACATAACCCTTTTCAAACTTGCAACGACTGAATAATGGCACTGTTCTCAATTGTAACATGAAACAAACACATCAGGTAAACGAAATACTTTACATGCATAACAAATTAAGTGAAATATTAGAAAAATAAATGTCCACTATTATAGACATATATCAGATTAATACACGTCATCAGATTAAGGTCATTAATATAAAAAAGGGCTTAAATATTATGTCCAATTCAAATTTTATCCGTTTTTAATTCAATTTTTAACATAAACAATGTGTTTTTAATCCTTTACAATTCGCAATATACTAAAAAGAACATAACCTCTAAATTTTTCAGAGACTATGAAAAGAAAAATTTTAATGAAGATTGAAGCAAAGATCATCGTCTTTTTATGCAAAAGTTATGACTAAGATTCTCCGTTATTATGAATGACTTCCTTCCCTTCTGCACTTAGGGATTAACATTTTCAAAAATAATTGATGACGTCGCGGTCAATCTAGGATTTGATTTCGATACGTATGTTTCGAAGTATACTTTTTTGATATAAAAATTGAGGGGCATCCGGGTAGTAGATCATGATAGAGATTGAGACTAACAAAGGAATACATTAAATATAAACACTCACCCGCCATATAAAATATTCTGATACATATAATCCATGGTAGATGAACATACACATAATCCAAAATGTAAATAGATACCATAACAAAAAGCATGATCTAGAACTTACAGCCACCATCTGTTAAGTGGTTGAAACTCCAAGATCCACTGAGTCTATTGCAACAGTAAGAAGCAACTGTTAATACTATTGGCTTCTTAAATCTCTATTCCTAAAGTAAGGTGGATTGTGATGAGAACTATGAGATGTCCCATAGACAAAAAGAAGATTTCTTTGTTGGATTAGTTTTTATTCTCATTAGAACCCAGCACAAATTCCAGGATGTCCCAACAAGGCATTCATTCAACAACAACATTGACTAGTTCATACTCAATCAAGGACAAGTTATTATCCTCCTTAACAGTGAAATTAGCAGGTTCCGTGACTTCCACACGGCCCCACTTGTCCACAGCAAGCCTCATTGATCCTTTGAACATGTCAATTTTGGCATTACGCAGGATGACAGTAGTTCCCTCTTTCATCAAATCCACTGAACAGAAGCATAATTGGAACCAGGAAAATGTTCAACATCAAACTATACATATCAGCAATACTGCTGAACATTAAATATGTGCCACAAAAAGAAACTCAGTTCATTCACCAGCAACAAGACAAAATGATGTCATAAATGAATAACTCATTTGCAGAACGATGTTTTAAGTCATGTTTGAAAGATTTGTTAACATAGCAATTTAATTTGAAAATTCTAAGTAAAAGAATTCAAAATTGTTTCAACTGCAAACATGGAACTTCATTTAAATTTTTATGTTGGATGCAACTTTACAAAGTATTACAGAATTACTATTTAGGAAGAATTCATGTAATGCAACTTGAAAAGTATTACACAATTTTTATTTAGGGGAGAATCACAATCTAAGAATGCTCAGTAAAAATATTAGGAGACACAGGGTAGTAGACATGAATTGAAAGGATGAAGGGAATGTGTTTGGGCTAAGTTTCTGTGCATCTGTATAAGTTTGGATTAATCTTTTATTTTCTGAAATTTTCTGTTCCTGCATGGAGATAGTCTCCATTGTTCTCAGGTAAGAAAATCAGTTCCTATCTATGATTAACCCATTAATCACTCTTTGAGCATTCCAAACTACTTTTTTGGTTAAATTGCTCCTATGTTGGAATTATTTTTTCCTAAGGTTTTCCAAATTTAAGTTCCCAACAATATATGACCAGTTGTTCTTGGTTGTGGTAGAACCCAGATCAAATCAAATAGTGAAGCATAAAACTCAGGAATAACTGAATAACAAGGTCAAAACTAGCAAGCACAACCTCATGGCCTAAGGAAGTGACAAAGAAAAGAAACATATTAAATAATAAAAAAGATACACTTTTTCAAAACCAAAAACAAGAGTTCAAAACCTAGTCAATTATGAACTTTGGCAAAACTATACACTACAAATTCTTGACAATCACTCTTTACCAAAAAGTTATCAATGAAGCCTTGGCGTATTATGCTTTGATCCAGGATATTTGTGTGTAAACCAGAACATAGGGAAGCACCTGAATTACACCGTCTTTTGCTTCCATGTGTTTTTCCCAGTTACATCAAATTTTCATTTCCATGATTCATAATCCTACATCTCCTCCAGTAACTTAAACCTCTTCTATAGGGTCAAGAAGAATATACAATACAGAAGCAAAGATACATCTCAATGTTAGATGGGTACACAACAAGGATCCAGTGAAAACGTGTGGAAATGCTATCATTTTTTAAATCTTTTTCCTCAAATCACTTATCACCATCAATCTATGATACATGGTACAAATATTTTGTCTTTTAATTGCAAATGAGGATGGAAGACAGCAGTCATATTCATGATACATCGTATACCACAATTAAGGGACATATGCACACAGCTACCACTTAAAAAGGACAACCTGGTGTTCTAAACCTCCTGCCATGGTGGGTTTCAATAAAGGGTCGGACCCATTATGGGTCAAAAATGCCAAATTTAGTTCGACTCTACTAACTATGACTGATTTACTTGCACAAAGTACCAGCCAATGTGCTATCAATTGACATTCTAGATTGTTTGGCATAAGGAATATTATCTATCCAACAACACACTTTTTACAATATTCATCATCAGATATTATTTCTAATTATGACATCTAATAGGTTACCAAATTTCCATATATAACTAATAATAGGAAGATTGAGACACTCCATCCAGAACCAAAATATCTATCAGAGTCAATTAGAGGAGGCCCAAAATCACATAGTTTTAAATTAATGAACAAATCTAATTTGATTCTCACAGGTGAATCACAAATTTAGACTATTCAGAAATTGCACTTTCCTTTGGCTGTTCTCCATTGGATTGCAAGTTTGCAACAGCTCCATATCATATGGCCAACCCAAATGAGAAAATATTAATACATGAACCAAATTTTTTGTGTTGATATAACCTAGATGCCCAAGGCATTATGAGATTTTTTAAGGTTATCATATGCAGGGCCACACACGGGTTTTGCCCATTTTAGTTAGGAGACCAGAGACTGGTTCAGATATGCTAAAGATAAATAGGAGAAGACAATTCTTTCTTTGTTTCTTTGATTTCTGTAAAAACTTAACACAAATTTTATATGATTTACGTTAGTGCTAGAAAATGCTAATGCACACATCAAATTGAACCCTTTAGGGTAAAAAAGACCAGAAAAATACAACACAACAACTGCCCAGGTTCATCTCCTGTTAGATAGATATTTTAGAAGTTGCCGATCATTTTGTGACAAAAATAACTATGACCCTACTATTTATGTAAGACTTACCATAATAAGTTTTTAATTACTGCTAGCACGTTAAAGGCCGTATGTGATAATAATGTTAAATTTGGGTTAAAACTACTCTTGTAAGTACTTCCAATACAACAAAGACCAAAAGTAATACTGTGATAGACATCAGAACAGAAAATAGCCTTCCAGAATTCCACACAAAACATAACTCAAACAGTAATTACAGATGCCCATGAAAGTGACAAAATAAAGCATTTGATGCATGACTGTTGACAAAATAAAGACCAAAAGTAATACTGTAATAGACATCAGAACAGAAATGATATGCTCACAAAATCAACAAAATAAAACACTTGACATATGACGTGAATACTCCATGAAAATTAACAAATAAACACCCTTTCCCCCCAGCCCAAAATAGAAAAATTTGGCAAGAATGTAAAGCAACAATGACAATAACGGTACCATGATGCAGCAAGAAAAACTTGCACAGGGGCAGGCTTGTGAAAGTAATAACATATATACCTTGATCATTTCTTGCAGTGAATATGATCATTCCAGTCTCATCACCAACCAAACATTCAGCAATTCGCATTTGACGGGGTTGAGAACCACCTTTCTGCATCACCATCTTAGTGTTGACCACCTTCACAGTTAAAGTGTGGCCACTGGTCCCTGGACGAAGCTGATCAACCTTGGTAAACACTGGCTTCCTCAATCCTGGTTTTGCATCCGCCATATCTAAAATCCTACAGAACCACAATAACCTAAACTAAGACAACATAAAGACTCAAACAGTGCACACACTATGCTTACTTTATAAGATCTTAATATATAGCTCGGAATCAAAGTTTGATGAATGGTTTCCCAGTACATCGGTTTTGCATATGAAATTCTCACTTGTTACAAAATTTTCACCTAAGGGGAAATCCCATTTAAGCCAATGTGAACTAAAATACATGTAAGAAAACGCAATTAATATAGGGTACCTATAATCAGCCTAACCCCAGCTTAAAGGGGTAAGAAAGTTCCGAACTTTTCAATATCCCAAGGTCAAATACACTAAATAAGAGCAAGTTAGCACCGAGGAATAATCATAAGATCCAAAGTCAAGCCAATTTAAGAATTCCATCAAACATGCTTAAGAAATTTCAAATAAACTTCACACAAAAAAAGCTATAAAATTTTTGAAGACTGGAACTTGAAACCCGAACCAAAAGTAAAAAAGAGAAGCTTTTTCTACGTGAAAATTCCGATACGAGTGTGGATGAGCGAAAGCAAAAGATAGAGAAGCTAAAAGGGGGAGGAGAAAGAAATGGAACCTGGAGATTGGAAATGGGGTGTAAGAGATGGGAAAGAGAGAGATCCGAAAGTGAGACTGAAAGTGAAAGTGACCGTGGAGGTCGGGTTTTAAGGAGAGAAAGAGGAGAGAGTTACTTATCATTCATCACAGCACAACAAAACGCATAAATAAATAAATTATTTTTATTAATATGTATTTAATGATGTGTAATTAAATATTAATAAATAATAAATTTTTGAATAATTTTAATAATAGCTTTAATGATAAAATAAAATATAATAAATAGTAAGTTATATTAAAAATATCATTTATGTTATTATTGTATTAAATTTTATAATATTATATAATTTTTAATAAAAATTTACATTTTTAAATTTTTTTAATAAGTAAGAAATGACCAATTCATTAAAATTAAATGAGAAAAGCATTAAATATGTATTATATTTTCAGGATATTAAATGCATAAAATTTTATTTAATGTTTGCTTTATAAAGCAAGAAAAGGATTATTAGAAAAATAAGTATGGAAATATTGAAAAAATTATAATTTTAAATCTTTCTACCATTAAAAGTAATAAATATACAAAATCTCTAAAATTTAATTTAAATTTATAACATTTAATTTTCTTCATGCATTAAATTATGTGATATCATATAATTTTTATAAAAACTTTATTATACATATGTTATTATTTCGTGCCAAATTAAATATTTTTATAACATATTTATGATTACATAGTAATTATTTAATTTTTTAAATTACATGGATAGATTTCTTTTACCATAATAATATAATTTAAAATCTATTTATTAAATAATAAATTTTAAAATTTATTACAAAGATAAGTAAATTTAATAATGACAAATGTGTGTTGAGTAACAGAAAAATTTAAATTCAAATTTAAAATTTAAAATTAATCAACTTAGAATTAATGTCTAAATTTAAACTTTGAATTCAAATTTCAATTAAAGTGAAAGAAAATTTTAAAATTTAATTTCAAACTTCAATTAAATTGTTAGAAAAGTTAAAATTTAAATTTTAAATTGAAACTAAACAATATTATTTATCAAATTATATTATGTGTCAATTTTGATATATTATTAAAAAAAATAAGAGAAACAACTTAATACTAAAATGTATTAACATTCAAATGGTAGAATACTATCATTTACATTTTGGTGTATTGTACAGATCCACTATGATATATAACATGTCAAATTTTAATGTATTGAATTTTTTTAATATTCTTTTATATAATAATTTTTTAAGTATTCAATATTTTATTAAAGATAAATCTAGATTATAAGAGGCATTCTAATATGTTAAAACTTTAATAAGAATTATTTTATTTTAATATTTATTTTAACAAATAATTTTTAAAATTATCTAATTACAATAAAAATATTGTACACAAATATTTTAAATTTTAGAAATATATTTTATAATTTTTTCAATCTAATAAATTTTTAAATTTATAAAAAAGTTATTATACTAAGTTAGTTGTTGATTTTTTTAATTTATTAATTGATTTTCAAATAAAAACAATAAATTCTCTATGTATTAAGTGTTAGTGAAGATAATAGACAAACAAAGAAGGATTTTATATCTTCTCATACATGAAATAATTATTACCATTAATTTTATAAATATTTTTTTTAATCTTTAAGATATTAAATAAATTATAATTACTGAAGTATCTATCATTATCAATATCATTTTTTTCTCTCTAAAAAAAATAAATAAATAAATCATAATTCTTGATTTAAAAATGATATATATACACTCTCAAATTCATAGTAAGTACCATAGCAAGTATTATTAGCAAAAATTTGCTTTTCGAAACGCTTCTTTTCTCAATCATGTGTAGAATTTCAACCACAATTAATAAAATATCTATCCTTTTCCCTTAATATATAATTATAAACAAATTAACTATATTTTTTAATCTTTACCTTTTAGATATGTACGATTTTAATTTTTTTAATTTTTGTTGTTCTTATTTCTTATAGCACTTTAAATATTTAAATTAACTCTCACTTCAAAATTTCATTGAATAATTAAAAATATATATAATAAAAGTGCATTATTATTAGTTTATATAAAATCTTTTTTTATTTAATTATTTTATATATTATTTTAAAATTTATATAAATCAATAATAGATTACATCTTTGATATATTTTTTATTATTATTTTATGAAATTTTGGGGAGGAGGAATTTAATTTAAAAAAGACTAATTATAAGTAATTAAAATTAGAGAAGTTAAAATCACACATAACTTAAAGCACAGAGTCTAAAAGTACAATTAAATAAAAAATTAATACCACTTCTAATTCTTTTTATAAAAAATAACTACAAATTTTTTCTATTATTAAAAAAAATTCAGATACTATAATTAGTAAATTATTTTTATATTTTTATTTATTATAAAATTTATGTTAACGAAACATGCACCTATTATTTATTATATATATATATATATATATATATATATATATAAGTGAATATTTTTATTTGTTTAACATAAGTCATCAATTTAATTATCTAATGTTATAATATTTTAAATACAGTATAATTTATGTTAGATAACTATTTTTTATTATTTTTAATAAATTAAGTTTTTTGTATATTATAATTTGTTCTTTTATTTTTGATGTTGAGATTTGTTCTTTCTAAATTAATTCATATCACACTTAGGGTCTTAAGGATTTTAATCACTTCGATATAAACGTACTTATTCTTTGCAAATAAACGTGTGATAGAAAACTTTAACCAAATATTTAAACTAATTTTAAAAGTGTTTATTCCGTAATATTTTTCACTTATTATTTTAAGATGATATTTTAATATTGAAATCTCTGTCTTTAACCAAGACTTAACCCTTCCCTTTTTTTCCATCGTTATTTATCGTAACTATACTCATTATCCGTGTTTTCTATTTTATCTTTTAATATGTTTTTCCTCTCTCCACAATCTCCAACCCCCTCACTTATAGAATTTTTTTTTTCAGCCCTTCTATATTTCACATTCCACCCATTAGAATAAAAACTTTGATATATCAACAAAATCAAAATAAAATAAAATAAAAACATTGTATATAAAACAGATCCGATCTCACCTAGAGGGATTGTTGTATATAAAACAGATCATAAACGAAAATGGTAGAAAACAAGAGTAGTTTATGGCTGCTAGCTCACAAATCATTACTTTTGCTGAATGTTTGCTTCTTTTTTGCGGGAAACCTTAATTTGCAAAATGAGTCGTGTACACAATGTACTGCAATTTTACTATATATGGTATTAGAGAGACCTTAAATGTATATAGAGGGCAAAAGTTTGAAGTTCAGATCCCACAACTCAAAAGTGGCATTAACAAAATCGTAATGTGCTCCTTTCAAAGCAATCGTTTTCTTCACAACCCCATCTCTCACAAATGGGTAAGTTAATAGATTCCCTAGCGATACATTCACAGCTTCCTGCATTACAGTAAGCAAGCAAAATCTTATATTACTAAAGGGTATTATAATTTGGAAATAGTAAACATTAATTCAATGCTAATAAATGTAAGCATTTTGTGGTATATACACAAGCCCTTGTGTAAAAGGGGCAAAGTATCAATGTATCATTTACTTACCTTCTCGCAGTTACTACACTGCTCTGAGAAACTTGAACCACTTTTCTCTGCTTTAACCTTGTTCTTTGCTGGAGTACATATTTGGACCCATTGCTCTATGAATTCACTGTAAAGATCACAGAGGAAGAATTATTTTCAAGGTGGTTATGTGAGTCAACTTTCTTATTTCACCAATATTAATGACGAGAAGAGAACAATCGAGTTTATGAAAATCATTGTGCACTTTAATAATATCAATTTTTTAAACATGTACTTAGAAGAGACATAATAAGAATCGATAAGTTTTTGTTAAAAATTATAAGATATTACAAGATTTAATACGTTTCTATCATTAAATATAAATAATTTTTAATAGAAAAAAATTATACGCCATTACCACATTGTCTCCAATAAGGCAGAACCAAGAACCAACGACAAATAAAGAATGTTGTTTATGACTTCATATTCACTACCATTAATATTGGCAAGTGAGTAATGAATCTACTAAAGCACTGAACATTTCAACTATGTGAAGAAAGGTTTTGTGAATCCCCACATACCTTTAAGTCCTTAAAAGTTATCATAATAGTTTAAATTAATTTTCATTATATGCACTTTCAGCACTCATCCTTTTGGCAAATTTGCATATTCCTTCTTTAGAGAGATCTTAGCAATAGTAATGGTGACTTGCCTTGCAGTTGCCCCGTTATCTGGGATAGACATGAGCCCCTTTATACCTCCACAACAACTATGTCCAATAACTACAATATTCTCCACCTGTAAGTCATACCCATTAGAATATAAAAGCAGGTGAAAAAAAAATGTTACTCAGTTTAAGAGAGAGACATTTGATTCATTTATGCTAACACCATACCATACATCTTTCCATTTTCTTCAAATTAAGGATAAAAATGAATGGGTCAACTTTAAATGAAATGTTAACATTCATATATACTACATAAAACATGTTATATTGATAAAATAAAATAAAAATGTGTTGACTATGCTGATGAAATATACAAATAATTGAATATTTATATCTAAATAAAACTTTTCTTTCATATCCATATTTATCTATTAAGATATTTTTTGAAGTCTATGAAACCACAGTAGATATCTGCATGGTGGTTGAAAGGTTGATCATTCTGCTTTAGCAATGGCACCAATTCAAGGATTTCGCAAGTAATTCATGTACCACTTTTGTCATCTAATACCAGTGTTTTGATGAAATAGAACAAGTTATGCAACTTGAAATGTGTGTGGATCCCTACATGAATAATGATCCAACATAACAAATTGCCTCCGTCACCAGAGTTTCTTCTATCTCATGTAACCCTCCATTTATAGAATAAGTAACAATTTACCTTTAAATGCAAGACTGCATATTCAATGGCCGCCCCTGCTCCTGAATACTTCGTCTACAATAACAAAAAGCCAGTGTTTTAATTTGAAACACCAAAATGACAACCCAAAAGAAGACAACTTTGGATAACAAATTTGACACTTTTCTCTCTAAACTAACGTAGGATTTTGTTTAAAATACACAAACTCTTGTATTTTCAAATTGCCCATCTAGCTAATTGAGTTGCATAGTCAAAACATCAACCATTAAGAGAACAAGATAAACCTTGTCATATGGTGGTACCATGTTGGCGATGTTTCGAACTACAAAGGCTTCACCTGGTTGGAAATCCAGAATATGAGACGGGCAAACTCTTGAGTCTGAGCAAGCAAATACCATAAACTGCATGTATGACAAAATAATATATAATAAACTATTAATGACAACATTTTGTTTATTTAAAAAGGATCTGACTTTTTAATGTAATGAAAAATATTGAAGGTCAATGCTTAGTAGATCATAATAGATTGAAATAATATAAAATTGAAATATTTAAAAATATATGTATGAAAAGTCATAGATTTATATATTATCATCTAAGAAGATTAGGACCAATTAATTTTATATATTCACATAATGTAAACTAGTATACATATAGTTAGTTATTGATAATAGTTAACAAGTGCTAATGTTGATTTAATTAAACAATAGTTGGGGGGGAATTAAGACTTCATTATTAGATCTAACAACAGTAAATCCCTTCATACTTAATTTTGTTTTCTTATTTTCTTTTCATTAGGGTTGAAACCAAACTCAATTAAACCACAAATTAATGTACCAACAGGTGTGGGTGCAGAAACCATGAGTGCTGTAACTAATAACATGACTAACCTTCGGGCTCTGTCCTTTGGCAAGTTCGCCATACAGATTGGGATTCTTGCTGAAAAGGAGACAAAGCATCCACCAAATGTGCTAGTCAAACTGTAATTCTTTTACTACTTAAATTCAAAAATACAATAAAGCATGCATTGAAAACCAATTGATTTTCTCTACCCGACGAAAGAAGTGTCAAACTTGATACCAAAGTAAAGTGCCTATATAGCACTAAAAGCATTTTTGGTCTACTAAAAGCATATTCTTATACCTGAAAAATGTTGTATCTTCTTACGGTTTCAACCTATAAATCCTTCTGCTCACAAAAAGATGACATGCAGTTTTTGAAAAATATTAATTAATTTTATTTTTTCTTTAAAAAACATATATTTTTTTAGGTGAGTAGAAAGATTTGTAACCTAAAATTGAAAAAATTATATATAATATTTTCATTTTGTACATTTTATGTGGCTGAACCTGGAAATAAGAGTAGCATATTCTTATACTAATTATAATAGAGATTTCTAAACGAAAAGGTTTCTAATTCTAGAAGTACAGAGACAAATGAAGGAGAGGACAAAAGGAGAAGAAAGACACACTCGAATTTCTCATTCTTGAAATGGATGAACCCAGTTTTGATTCTCTTATCTGGGTTAAATAGCTTTGAACTCGCTGCATCAAGCTCTGTTGTCAACTCCTTGATCTTTGAGGCGGCAACACCACCAAGGTCAGTTTTCTCACTGCCAAAAGTTGATCCAAACAATTGCATAGCATGAAACAGTAGTAAAGATAGAATTTTTAAGTATATAATAGTTATATACGAAATTAATTGAATCACATTTACACCTAGCATGTTTAGAATGGTGTTTAAACATGTTTAAAATTATGTCAATACAAAAATTATAATACGGGCTGTTAAAATAAAATAAAGGTAAATTTACAAATACTAGTGCTTGTTTGGATGCATTAGAAGTTTTCAAATTTAAACATATAAATGTGATTTAAAATTTGTATCAATATGTTTGACAGTTTTATTATAAATTATAACTTTTGATTTAAGTTAAAAAATTTACATAGATTAACAAAATTAAAGTTGAAACTTAAATTTACAAATTCTCATGTGAACACACACTAATCAAATTATATGGGAAAAAAAAAGTATTTGGGTGAATTTACCTGAGAAGCTTGGTCAGAGTTGCGATGGCTTCATCATATGATTCTCCTGCCATATCTTCCTTCTGCTTTGGTCCCAAACATAGACACATCAAAACAAGAGCATTAATCTCTTCATTTAAGGCTTTACTTTCTTAACAATAAAAATAAACGAAAAGCATGACTTTAAACAAGGATAAATTAGAAATAATAAAATTAATTTGTGTCAAAATTAATATATCAACTAATTTTAATAGTTTTGAAATCTAAAATATAAAAGGTGTTCAAGTAATAGTTTTAATAATGATAGATTTTATCACACACTTTAATGTTATATATATCTTGAGAGGAATAAAAGAGAGAATAAATAAATAAATTAATATATTGAAAGATGTACAAATTTGTACTATTTGAGATATTTAATTTTGTAAGAATTAAATATATTTTACACTTTTAAAATATATTAAATTTCAATTTTAGTTTTATAAAAACATAATGTAGTCTTTATAATTTTAAAAATTATTATCTGGTCCTTGGTCACTCACTATTAAATGATAATATAATTAATTTAGTAACATATTTTTTATGCATATTATTTTTAAAAAAAAGTTACATCAATAAAAAAAATAAAAGTTAATAATCTTTCAAAATATGAAAAATAATTTTATATAAAAATTAAAATCAAAATTTAATATAACAAAAACAAATATAAACGATTGGCCAAACAACGTACCGAGACAATCTCGCCTGTACAACACAACATGCACTTTTTTAATGCTCCAGCCATTTCTTTACCCTGCAGGATCTTCTTCCCACTGCCAAGCACACAACAATCATTTTCCTTTTTACTGGGCAAGCTATGTTTGAAATTGAGGTTGTACTATAGTTTAGCACACGAGAATTTTATATATTTTACTTATTAAAAAATATATTTTATATTTTTAAGACATTATTAAATATATGAAAACTGTGGCATAATACAGAAAATGTGTGCACAAAACATATCATATACAGTTACTGTCTTTTGTATATTTGATGTCAAATTTTATGGTAACAAATGGCTTATTCTTAAAGCATTTATATTTTTCTCTAATATTTACTTAATAGAATATTAAAAAGAGTAATTAGAAGATAGGGCAAAAGAATGTAACATTACTCTATACAAAGGAAAAGAGGGTAAATAGCAGAGTTTGTGCCACATTGTTGGAAAATGCAAACCTTGAAAGCTCCTACAATGCTAATTTGACTGGGGTGATTGGACTTTACATTCTACTTTGCCCCCTGAATGAAATTGTTGGTGAAGCAAAACGAGAGAAGAAAAATAGCTAAACTGTGAGGTGTTTTCACTAAATTGAACTAAGGAGAAGAAGTTCAAAATGGAATGGCCACCCAGAAACTAAGGGGGAGAAGGAAAATGAAAATAAAATTGAAGGGAAGCATGCGCGGACAAAAGGGATAAAGAAAGCGAAATGTAAGTTAATAGAAGCTATGGGTTTGTAACGTACACTGTTTCCTTATCTCAATTCTGAAAGCCAATCTGAGTGAACACAGTTAACTAGATAACACGTGTCCTTAAAAGCCACAAAACGAGGTCATGATGATAAAACTATCCTACCATGTATAAATTAAATGTTTTCTTGGTAAAAAGGAATATTTTGTGATTATGATTTGACGCTGTTGCCAATTTTAACATTTGAATGGATGATGTTTGTCTGCTTTTCAAGTAGTCCCTTCAGAATTTTATTTTATTCGTATAGGCCAAAATATGTTTGTCTTGGCTTTGCAGATTAACAATTCATAGAATATCTATAGCTATCTATATACAAAAATTTAAAACTATTGTCTGTTTGGAAACAAAAGAAAACTCTGTTTATACGCAAATTGAAGCAGGCTTCGTGAGAGGGAGGAATTTTTCAATCGTCTATAAATGGAGTTATTGATAGTAAACAAATTGGCTAATAGTCTATTTAAAGTATAATGACCTGTTTAAAACTTTTTTCAAATAATTTAAAGCTTAACACATTAATTTAATCTAAAAACTAAAACTGACTAACAATAATTGATCCAAATTTAAATATCTTTAAAATGCCTATTGTCTTCAATTTTATAATTTTTATAAACAAAGAAATGATAAATTCTAAAAATAAATAAATCCGTAAATTACGAAATGCAAAATTAATGAAAGAGAATAAAATTCAGAATGTGATAAAAATAAATTTATAAACAAATAATTATGTATATAATATGATACTATAATGGCATTTATAAAAATTTATAAAAATAGTTTATAATTTTTATAATTTTAATAATTTTAATAAATTTTTAGTATAATTTATTAAAATAAAATTTTTAAATTTATTACAATAAATTATCTTAAATTCACATGTGATAAACAAGATTATGAATACTTATTTAACTAAATTACTTATTTAAATATACTTTGAGCTTCATACTAAAGTTTCACGTGAGTTAGCCCTCCTATTCAGAAAAAAAAAAAAAGTTTTACGTGGGTTTTGGCGTGAAATATAAGAATAATATTATTTTTATATTTTATAAACGAGTGTAAATTTGGTCGTAAAAAAATATAATAGTTAATATAATAAAAAATAAAAAGGATAAAAAGTAAAGATATATGTAAATAGAGTGTAAAAGAAAATGATGCGAGAAAATTAAAATTAGGTGTATAATGCCGGGAATTTAATTTTAATATGGTGTTTTTATGATATATTTACCGGAATATGGACTTTTCTGTATAATTACGAAGGTGTGGTATTTGAAAAATCGCCAGAAACGATTTTTGCAATGTCTAGGAGCCATCAATTTTGACTTTTCAATCTTTAATTTTGACTTATTTGTCAGGCAAAAATACAAACAAGCACGCGTATTTAATTGGGTACAGATACTATGCAAAGTCAGTAAAATCGCAAGTGGCGACTTTTACTAGCACAATAATACATTGTCCTGCAACTGAAAAATCGTGAGTGGCAATTTTTACTAGCACAGTAACGTATTGAAATGTCGCGAATTGAATTGGAACTATGCTTATAAATAAGAATTGCACCATGCCGTATGCGCAAATGAGAAAGGGAAATACGAAAATCGCCAAGAAAGAAGGATCTTATAGAAGAACAATATCAAAGAGGGAAATAAAATGGTTCAAGACGTGACTATGGAATCGCACAAACATATTTCACAACGTATTCGTACTCAAAATGTAAGTAAATATTTATTTTTTAATACATGCAATGTAGTATAATAAAAAATTTTCTTAATTTTATTTGAGTTATTTATTTTTTAATTAATGCAATTTATTTTAAGTTTGTATAAAATAAAGATAATTATTTTAGTCTAAGTAAAAACATAATAAAATTTATAAAATTTTAGTATTGGATAATTTTATTATATTATTTACTTTTAATAAAAATTATTATCATTGAAAAATATATAATAAATTATTCGTACTAAGTGTTAATATTAGCCATTGTATAGTATTAAAATAATAATAATAATGATAATAATAGATGTAAAAATAAGTAAAGCACAATTTATATTAAAATAATAATAATATTATGTGTAGGTATAATTAAGTAGAAACATATCATTTTTTTATAGTTAGTTTTTTTATATTTTGATATATATTTAATTCATAGATTACTGATAAATTACTATTTTTAAATTTCAGGTAATGAGAGTATTACGACCACGTCGCTTATCTATAATGCCACCTAAGCCTGAAATAAATGAGATTTTACGAAATGCTAGTTTTGATCGTATTGCACAATTATGTCAAATGCATATAAACGGTGGCCTTATAAATGCACTTGTTGAACGTTGGAGACCAGAAACACATACATTTCATCTTCCTTGTAGAGAATGCACAATAACATTAGAAGATGTTGCTATGTTGCTTAGACTGCGATGCAATGTTATAGCAGTTACTGGTTCTACTAATCCAAATACTTTGGCATTGCAGAATATGTGTGAACAGTTACTCGGAAGTCAGCCCAAATCAAATGATGTTGAAGGTTCTGAAATAAGATTAAAGTGGATCACACAACACCTTGGTTGGCTTCCTGCTAATTTAGACATTAGGATAGCTTAACATGCTCGAGGATATGTACTTTCTTTGTTGGGACATGTTTTAATGCCAAACAAGAGCAACTCCCTGGTACATGAAAAATTCTTACAATTGTTGTTAAATGTCCATGAAATTGAAATGTATAGTTGGGGTTCAGCATGCCTTGCTTTTCTGTATAGAGGTTTGGATCGTGGTTCACGACATGATGCCAAAGAAATTTGTAGATGCATAATATTATTGCAGGTATGGGCATGGCACAAGCTCCCGTGGTTGGCTCCAATACTTGGTGAACCAGTAGTATTTCCACTTATAGTCAGATAGAGACGTCTTTGATATCCAACCAAGACTCCATATAGGGATCTTGGAAATGTTAGACTAGCATTAGATAAAATGGCACTACATGAGGTACTTGTTAATATATTTATACATTTCTTAACTATTTTTATACATGTTTGAAATTATTTATGAATAATTATTTTTGAAAATGCAGTTCATGTGGCGACCATATGAGGATGAAGCGATTGATGCTGTTGTTCCACATGATTTGAGAGGAGAACGTTTATTGTGGTCAACTGTAAGCCCATTGATATGCTTTGAGGTTGTAGAGTGGCATGCAACTGACCGTGTGATGCGGCAATATAGATTTGCTCAACCTATTTCTCTGCCGCTCCAAAGTCTTGACGGAGTCCACAACAAAGATTTACGTGGATTAAGAGAACCAAAGGACTAGAGGTTGATACATGATGATTGGGTGATGATGTGGGAACAACGACATCAGCGTACATTACAAGGAATGGCAATTGACCAGTATTACCCGTCCAATGAGTATTGGAATTGGTACACATTGTATGCAATGAATTGGTTATGGTTGTCTCCACAAATGGAACAGCCACCACCCTAGCAACAACAGTTTTTGGTGGATGAAGAGCTTATGTCCTCTCCACTGTCTGAGCATCAACAGGGGATTCCACCACCGTCAGTTCAACCAAATTAGGAGTTTTATTGGTCACCACACACAAACCAATGGCAGCCATTTGAATGGGATGAAGAACCCCTACAACAACAACCTTCACGAATGTCTGTCGATAGAAGAGATAATCGTCGTGGGTCAACAAGCAATGAATCACGTCGAAGGAGATCAATTGATTGCAGTAGTGAAAGTGGGACATCTCGTGGGTTACTTTCTACATATGACTTTTTCATTGAGGATGTCAGACCTTCTCTTGACATTCCTGCATGCAACTTTGACCTTAATGAGAGCGCAATTGTGGATGAAGGGAATTATGATGATGAAGATGTTTATCGACTAGAACTTGTGACAACAGAGTGTGGTGGTACTTCTCAGCAAACATTTTCATTAGGTGAACAATATTCTGTGTCAATCATGTCTTGGGAGATGACACAACAACACAGGATATGTATAAATACATCTGAAAATGTGGTACAAGCAGAACGTACAGTTGATGAGAGAGTTATACACGATGCCACAGATGATCAGGGTGTTGGGGATGACGGTTCTACAGAAGGAAGACGAAGGGGATTTTTTTCGCGTATGTTACGTCCCTTCACCCATGTCCCTGATAGATATAGCCCCTCATTAATCAAGAAGAAAAAGGGAAAATAATGTTTGTTTAATGTTAATGTTTATGTTTATGTTTAATTTATGTTTTCATTATTGTCTTTATGTTTAAGCATGGAATGTTATTTATATTATGCAACTTTGTTTGTCAGTAAAATATTTAATAAAGAAAGCTTTGTTTGTTAGTTAAATATTATATGATTTATCATCTCTTAATGCAGATACTCTTTCAAAATATAACAAATATTGCATATGACCCTTAATACTGATTAAACAATACTACTTCATCTTACATGACGATAACAACTTAATCATCAACAACAACAACAACATAAATTAAAACTACATAAAACAACAACATCAACCTTGCGAACTTGACCCAGGAGCATTTGGACATGTTCTTCTACTATGGCTTTCACCTCGGCAAAGAGTGCAACGTCGGGTTCTTCTCATCTCACGCCTATCCATTTCATTCAGAAAACGTGTTGATTTTGGACGACCTCTTATTATGCGCTTTAAATTTGGGTTAGGAATAAGTTTTGGGCTTCTATATATATGTCACGTACTTTCATTTCCAATGACTCCAAACTCCTTATATACTTTGCACAACTCATTTATCTTGTAAACATCTTCGACATAACAACGCCAATCAATGTTCTGACTAGAGCAAGCAGCAGTGACATGACGACATGGATATTTATCAGTCTGGATGTCACCACAATCACAATACCTTTGCCTGAGTTGGACTTTATATTCTTGATTGTTGTTTACATCTTGAACAAGAAAAGTCTCATTTCGCCTATCAAATACAGTAACACAAAGGTTTCTAGATGCTTGCTCATTTGATTGAAGTTGAGTCGTCATAGCATCAGAAAAAATATGTCCAGCCTTTTTTCGCGCATATGCCTCACAACCTTTACGTGCAAATAACTCAGCCAATCGAAAGTAAGTTGCTCTAACCAGTGGTGTTATTGGAAGATTACGAGCGCCCTTTAATACTGAATTAATGCACTCAACAAGATTGGTGGTCATGTAACCCCATTGATGCCCGCCGTCATATGCAAGAACCCATTTCTCTCGTGGAATTTCATTAAGCCAGTCTGTATATATCTCTCCATGTTGTCTCAACCGCTCATAATGAATATTAAATTCTGATTCAGTTCTTGAATAACCTGAATACCACAAACTCATTAATATAAGTATGTCAACAACATATAAAATTTATAATTCAATGTAAATATCATTGACAGAAGAATAATGTCAATTACCCATGCGGACGACAAGTTTATGCAAGTAAGGTGTCTTAAATCTTCGCAAGAAATTAGCAGCAATATGCCTGATACAATATATGTCAAATGCCTTTGGAGGTTCCCATTGTCTGGTACTTCGTCTTATTGCTGCATTAATTGACTCGTGCCGATCAGAAATAATACCAACACCATCCTGCGTCACGACATGTTTGCGTAAATTCTCAAGGAAAAAATGCCAACCATCTGCAGTTTCTCCTTCAACAATAGCAAAGCCAATTGGAAAAATATTCTGATTGCCGTCTTGTGCAACAGCTACCAATAAAGCCCCCTTGTATTTTCCATATAAATGTGTTCTATCAACCTGCACAAGTGGTTTGCAATGTCTGAATGCCCGAATGCAAGGAGCAAAACTCCAAAAAATACGACGTAATATTTGAACATTATGAACCAACTCATCATTGCCATAAGCTTTAACAGCATCCAATTGAACAATTGACCCACGAACAATGTCACACATCGCTACAGACCATTGTGGCAGGGCTTCATACGAGGCTTCCCACTCATCATACACTTTTTCAATTGCTTTTTGCTTTGCCATCTATGCTTTTCTATATGTTGTCGTATATCCAAATCGAGCTTGGGCTTCATTAATCACAAGTTTGATCTTAAAAGAAGGGTCAGATTCTACCATTGGCTTAATACATTCTGCAATTGTGTTTGCATCCAACTTGCTATGATCCTGCGAAATCCTAGCCCTCATACAAGTGTGTGGCCCACTATACTTCCTGATTTTCCAAAAATATTTGTTTTTCCTCAAGCTAGCCCGAACAAGCCAATCACAATCTATGCCATAGCTTACACATTTACAGTAAAATGTATTTAGGTTAGACTCAAATACTTTATAGTCCACTCCTTTTGATATACTGTAATGTTTAATTGTTCGTATAACATTTTCTCTGTCATTAAATTGCATTCCAACACACAATTCTCCTACTACCTTAGAATTACCTATCAAACATAAATTTTAATAAAAAAACTAATTCATTAAATTAAACATAAAATGATAATGGTATAATTAAAATATTTCAAAAATCACATACCTAAGTTAGCATATTCTGGAAATTCAAGTGCTTGCATACTTGTAAGATCTAACGCACGCATGAATGACGGCTCCTCAAACGGATGTTTGCCAATCATTGGACTTGATAAATAGGAGTCTTCATCAACTCCCTCATCTTCTGATTCCTCCTCATCACCGTCTTCATCAAAGTCAGGGTCATCACTTTCAGTGCTGTTTTGTTCCCATTCAATCTCTCTGTTGGGAACGATGCTCACATAGGCTTCATCTTCCTCATCACTACCTTCTACACATGTATCAGCTGTAATTTGTTTAAAAACAATATACAGCTCAATGGTAGGAGTTGGGGCCCGACGCTCATTATGTATTTGAAACATTTGTTGAATATCTTCGTCGGTTGTTATTGCAACTCCTTGGTATTGCATGAAACCTCCAAAAATAGAAATCAGACACCTATACGTTATACTCTATACTATTTTTGGAGTCTCCACTTCAATATATTGACAAAGCCAATATTTTAGTGCTTCATATGATATATTATAAGGAATATACATACAAATTGGCTTCTCACATGTAAATCTCACACCTTCACATGTGTTTGTAATAATTTCACTCTTAAAGTACACCACTATATTTGTACTCATTTCTTTCTTCAACTATAAAAGAATAGCCAAATTTGACAAACAAAAAAATGCAAACAACAGAAATGCAATAGAAAAGCTTTAGAGAGTGGAGAGAATAGGGTTATAGTGCAATTTATTACAAATTGCAATGACTATATATAGAACGAGATTTTAAAAAACGACAGTGGCGATTTTATTTCTTAAAAATCGCCATAAACGATTTTTACTTTCAAAAAATTTTGAAAACTCGCCAGTGGCAATTTTTACCATCATATAAAATTATTTTTTCTGACATTCAAAAATCGCCACTGATAATTTTTAAAATTTTCCATATTTAGGTAATTTTTTTCTAAAGTCCATATTATGGTAATTAAGTAAAAAAAATCCCATATAAAAAAAATGACCCTATAATGCCTTACATTATTAAAAAGAGTAATGGTATTTTTAGATCTCATAATAAGAAATGAAATGAATGTAAAAGAGATAGTTATAAAAATTAAAAATATAATGAACAACGTAATAAAAAGAAAGGAAAAATAAAATAAAGTGTAAATAAAATATTTTTAAAAAGTATGAAAAAATATTATTTTATTGTAAATAGAAACATATGCTCCCATGTTTCAATTCTAACAATTGAGATTTATTTTAAAAATAATATAATTTTAATGAATAGGAGGGTCTTCTAAAAGCTGTAGATGAACTGAATCCGTATCTACACTTCCAATGTTAGGTGGGATATTATTTTTGGTTGATTAACCAGCCGAGTCTCTCAGAAGATGCATGTATATCTCAGCAACTGAATCATTCATCTCATTTCACTTCAGCAAGGTAATAAAATATCCATCCCTTTGTTTCATGTAATATACAAAGAGAGTTTCAGAAACAAACAAACAGATAAGGATGAAAATATGGATACTGATCATCTTTTCCATGAGAGATATTGGCAATTCTGCAAGTAGATAGAGGCTTTCCATGATTCATTCATTTTGCAAGCAAATAGAGGCAACCGTTTCCCAGTTACTCTTCTGGTTGTGTTGCATGATTTTATTTTATTCTATTTTTGTTAAAATATGGTTTAATTTGGATCTTTTAGCTAGCAACGTATTGGCGCCTGACTAGTGACTACCTTCTGTAGTTGAATTCTGCTGCTCATAAGGATGATTACCTGTGGGCTGAGAAAAGTAGGATTATCTGTTAAAATTTATAGGATCGACGTAAAAAGAAGAAGAAAAAAAAAAGTATTTTTTAGAGTGAATATATTCTATCCTTTGGATGTTTTGAGCCTTTGAAATGTATACAATTGATTGTTCAACTTTTGATCTCCCAGATGCACAATAAACAATCTAATGAAGAAAAGCCATGTGAGTGATATGAGGTAAAACTGCACATCTTCCTCGTTGATTGAAAGAAACCCCTTTCTTCCTCTTTCTAACCCCTCAAAAAGCAAAATAAGAAACCAAACTCCCCTCATTTTTTCTTTTTAAATTACCTTTGGTGATCTTTTTCATTCATAGTAGTTTCTGTGGGCAGGTTCGAAACTGTGATACAGCAGAAAGCAGGGTTCAAAGGTATGAATATAATGTTCAACATCTTCTGTTTCTTACTTCATTTTTTTAGGGTGTGAGTAGGGAGAGTATGAACAATTGTTGTATGCTTCCTACAACGGTTAGCAGCTTGTACAGATTTTCAATGTTATTAGACTAATGTTTAACATACAATATTAATTTGTTCTGTTTAAGAGGAATGCAGCTTAACTGTCATTGATGAGGAAGAAGCTGGAATTTCATTATTTCAATTAGAAGATTTGACTTCTAGTTGGTGCCCAATGGTTGTTTGTAAACCAGTTTCTATTAAGACAGCCAACAAATACTTTTCAGTTCGTAAAGTAACTCGGTCCTTGCCTTCCACTGCACTATCTTTTGTGGAGAAAGTTCCTCAAGATGCACAAAATTATCATATTACAGCTTTTAATTCAGGTGATGGATCCTCAAAATCAGATAATGAGCCATCTTCATCTAAGACCATACGGGATGTACATATTGTAAGAAGAACCACTACACATCAACACTGTCTATTTTCTATTTTGTGGCTCTGCTGGACTCTTCCGGTACATAAGTAGCATCATAGTGCCTGTGACTATTGCAGACTATTTATGTTTAATAAGTATTCATTTCATGTTTTCCAGTCAATGCGGTTAATGGAGGACTTTCTTGATCTTGCTAAAGAAAATACAGAAAAGGAGCTGGAAACATGTGGTATACTTGGTGCCTGTCTTGTAAGAATCATTATAAAACCATAACTTATTGCAATCAGCTTTCTTGTCAAATTTGCTTGTGGTATTAAAGGCTTTATGAATAAAAAGATATTAGCTCTATCATATTATGGCATTATTATCAGAAAATTTTCTCAAAATAGCAGTGTATCATACCTCCGGCATAATCACTCCTTTTGTGTCATTCTATAAATTTCCAATAAGTAAGAGTTGGCGTCCTCATTTAATCTATATTACAACAAAAATCTCTCTCTCCCTTCTTCTCTCATGTATGTACCCTCGTCATGTTTATTTCTACTTGTGTTTTTAATGCTAGTAGGGTGTTCTTTTTACTTTATATCTTATGATTGTTTTTCAGTGTATGACATTGTATTTAAGAGATTTAAATCTGCAAGGATTGTGTTTTATGGAAAAGAACTGAATAATCCGATCTGATAAACTGCGTTACAGAATTTGAAATTGATATATGATTATGCCCAATTATCCAGGAGAAGGGAACCCTCTACATGACTACTCTGATCATACCAAAGCAGGAATCAGCTTCCAATTCTGTTAGTATCTTGTTTGCAGTCTTTCATTCTTCTAACCTACGGTTTTACAAAATTTCACCACATATTTTTAAGGTGACATGGTTTTATTGCTAATTGTGGCTAACTTGCTGCACTGATTCACAGTGTCAAGCTACAAATGAGGAGGAAGTTTTCAAAATTCTAAATGAAAGGTCCCTTTATCCTGTGGGATGGATCCATGTATGTCTTCCTACTTTTTTTCTCTATGCTAATTAAGAGTAGGAGTGTTTTCTGGTTGGGTTGGGTTAAAGGGGAACTTTAGACCTCAATTCTGTGATGGTTGGATGAAACATATCAATCCCAACAAACCGAACTTAGCAATGATTGAGTTGATTTGGATTTGGTTAATTAAGTTGGGCTAAAAATATTTTCATGTTGGAGATGAAACCCAAAAATGAACTGTTTGTTTGGATGGGATTTATCTCACTGCAACTCGGCGACCAAGGTTGTCTGAAACCTATCTTCTTAAAAGGAAGACTAATGTTCCTTTACCTAAACCCAAGATCTCCATAGGAAACATCCTAAACAAGAAGACAAAAAATTGTTTAATATTTTTTAAAATGGCGTTAGATTCATTGTGTTGGGTCAGGTTGAGATATTAAATTTAAAACTGAACATCAAATTTGTTTTGATCAGGCTGTTCTTAAGTAAGCTTAATTGGAAAGTGTTGCCAAAGGTCTATAACACTTGACAATCTATTAAATTAGGGGTAGCCACTTTCTCCAAAATTTTTAAACAAGATAAGTCCATAAGCATAGTGTTTTTATCCATTTATGAAATGTTTTTCCCTTTCTTCTTTGAGATTGTCCACTTCGATCAAAATATATATCACTGGGATTAACTTAGGTAGCATTAGAGCCCAAATAAATTTCAAATTATAAATCTTTACAGAAGACAATATGCTTCATTATCCCATGTTACTCTGCATGAGTGCTGCAACAGCAGTTCCTCCTAGTTTGACTTCTTTTACCTTTTGATTTTTCTAAACATTTTCAGACACATCCTTCTCAAAGTTGTTTCATGTCATCAGTGGATCTGCATACTCAATATTCCTACCAGGTGATTGATAAAAGTATATGAGCTATATTTTCATCACCTTCATGAATACATGTTGCATAACATTTCATCCTTGAATTAAATCAAAATTTTCATTTGCACCATGGTTGCATTGAGTAGTTGATACTCTTCAAAGAGAATTTATAAAAGAACTTTGTGGCACAACCTGTATGGTTGTGTCGGAAACCAGCAACTAAGAGCATTATGGTTAGGGATAAGAAGACCATTTTATGACAATATATGTGTATTTAGTTTTGTTTATTATCAAAGTTGAATTTTCAACTTTCTATATATTTATAATTTAAGAGTATGATTGCAAAATATTTCTTTTAATTGAAATCCCATCCTGTTTTCAATTTCCGAACCAAGTTTGAACTCACAGTTTGGTGTTATTTTATCAGGCGATGATTGCTGAGGCATTTGCCATTGTCTTGGCCCCAAAAGATACATCAAGGTCTACTTACTGTCTTTTACTCTATGATATGGACAAATTCTGGCCAATTCCTGCAGTTATATAACATGTTATAGTGCTTAAACATAAAATTAAATTTTCCTAGTTATAATATCTTTCTGCCTTTTTCTTCAAGTTTTTCGATGTGCAACTTGAACGAACAACTCTCTCCCTATTTCTAAGTATAAGAAATGCTATATGTTAAGAAAGAGTTGCAGTTTGCGGATGCAATAATTTGACTATTTATGCAATGATTTTGCATTCTCTTATAGTTATTTTATGACAAAAGAATCATGTATGTTGAGAATTCTTCTTACATATACTGTTAAGACTAAGAGTATGTGGGAACTCAAATTTAGTGATTTTATCCAGGAGCTGTGGATTATTTCGACTAACCGATCCTGAAGGAATGAATATTCTGAAAAATTGCCACGAGACAGGATTTCATCCACATAAAGAACCAGATAATGGCAACCCCGTGTATGAGCACTGTTCCAATGTTTACAAAAACTCCAATCTAAGGTTTGAAATATTTGATTTACGCTGACATGACTTTGATGACAGCACACTGCATGTCCTAGCTACACCTGAAACTATAATAATCCTGATGTACATATGTTGTAATATTTGGTTTAATGTAGCAAGCGTATTTATTTTAACGAACATTTGAAAGAGTTTACCAAGTGTTTATGAAAATAATTCATGATTCTCACTTTTTTAATTTATTTTAATTAGCCTTTTTATATAACTTATTAAAATAACTTCTTAACTTATTTTAATTAGTTTTAAAATTAAATTTATGTTATATGAGTGGTTGGGTGATAAGAGTTTACTGAAAAAGTGTTTAATCAAACTGTTTATTTAATCAAAGTAAATTGAAAATTTTAGGAAACAAATTTAATAAGGATTTCTTTGCTGGAAATGCAATACAGTGATAATGCCAAAAAAAATTATTTTATTTTTTTAAAAAGGGACAACTTCCTAGGACTACAAAGGTAGCACAGGTACCATTTCAATCTAACGATAAGGGGTTGACCAACCAAAAAAAACTAAACGATTAGGATCAAAAGAACAATATAAGGAATAGATTATTACAATATAAATGACACTTTTTAGTTCAATAAAACAAAATGACGATGAATGCATCAGAATCGAAGGTAAAGTTTAACTTGGCTTCAATTTTTTTGCAAAGGCTATCATCTATTTAATTAGTTGCTAAGCAGCCGGCATAGATCGAATAATATAGTTTTCAATTTTTTTTCATTCAAATTTTGTTGAATCTATTAAGTTGCATCGTTATTTTTTTATAAAATTATAAATTTTATTTTGTATCTTTAATTTAAATTCTAATTTAGTCCTTTAATTCTTGTTTGATTCAATATAATATTTTATTTTGTGGCCATTTATTTTTACTCACTTTCCTTCATCATTCAACTTAAGAGAAATTTCCTAAATGACGTTTTAAATTGAGATTTTTTTTCCTTCCTCTACACTTTACCAGCAAACTCATTCGAAATTCACAAATTACTACGGGGAAACTTCAATAACAGTCTACGATTTTTTTTTCTTAATTGGTAAGAGTTTGTAATTATTTCTTAGGAGGTTAAAATAATATTGAGATTTGATTCTCAAGATAACTGTAAATTAAGAAATTATATTATATATTATACTTATTTTTCTTCCATCTAGTTTTTTATTATCTAATTTTTTTTCTTCACTTCTCTTTTTCTTTTGGCCACTTAATAAAAAAATAGAAAACTCTTTTTAAAAAAAATCATACATATTTTCCTGTATTTCTCTATTCCTTTTGGCCCCATGATATTGGTCGGTTGGCTACAAATTTTGCACTTCGGTTTGTTATTTCCTTGGAAGTTCCAAGTGATGATTACTTGAGAATGAAGCATCCGAAGATGGGAATATTATTCTCTTTCCATGAAAGCAGAAGAATCAGAAGTGACGTCGTATCCGCGTATCGTACCACACTGCTCCCATTGCAAGTTCCAGGATGGAAGTGCCCTACAATTATCATTTATTGCAAAAACATTTAGTAATATAACTATTTTTTATTTAAATTTATTATATATTCTTGTCTGAACATTTTTTGTATAATGTTATGGCCATTACTGTAATTTTAATATTTTATTTGATTTTAATAATTTGATATAATATTTTGGTGTGAAATGATTATGATTAACGTATAGCATAACATGAAGGAAGTACTTTTTTGAACATGCTGAAAAATTGCATTATGTTAGAGCTTATAATTAGTGTGTAATTAAGTGAATGTTCGTAAACTTAACTTAAATGTATATGATTTTATAGAATCAGTTTTACTTAAAAAGTGAGTTTTAATAAAATTTATTATAAATTTTTTAACTTAATACAAAAGTTTAGATTTATCATGTTTATTCAAATGCCATAATGGAAATTAATTTTAATTTGAAATTACTAAATATGTTGACTAATAATTAAAGCATATATACCTGAATTTAAACACACACAATGTGAATATAATAAAATGAACTTGGTCATTGTAAATGTAAACACAAATACTGGTTGTGAACATAACATAAAAGTGGTAAGTTAATATATTCTTTGAAGTAACAATTTTGATTATATTTTTTTTGCTAATAACAATTTTGATTATATTTATATCTTATTTTTAGGACAATGATATTTTATAATTTATTTACTCGTTGGGACAATGTTATTATTTTTATTGTATTTACATCAATATAGAATTACTTAATTATAATTTTCACTTTATTTGTAATTTGTAACTTATTGATACTCAATGCAAGTTATTTATGTAATCCAAATTCGTTATATATGTTTGGTAAAATAGAGTTGTCAAATTTTGAAGGTAATTTTTTTATGGAACCAAAATGTGAGACAAGTAAACGCAAAGATGATGAAAAAAATTAAAAAGCAAACATAACATGTAAGATTTCTGTTACATAATTATTTAAATAAATAAAAATATTATAATATTACATTGATATAATACTATATATCTTTTTAAAACATTTAAAAAAAATAAACTAATTCATCAAACAAATTTTAATTTGTTGAACTATAAGCAACTTGTTAAACTATAAGCTTCAAGCTCTGTTCATGGTTGAGAGAAATTAACACTTGTCGGAAAGAAATAACGCAAGCTCTGAAAGAGAAACATATTGCTTTCTCATATAGACTGTCATTGCTGCTTGCATCTCTTCACATTTATGCGGCAGGCAGGGGTGGATCCACCGACGATTCCGACACATCATTCATATTAATTCCATTTTTGGTTGAAGTGGTTGAGACAAATACTCCTCAAATAAATGACTCTGTACACAAAGTAACCAAGTTCTTCTGCAATAATCGTTAATCAAAATTACTTTTTATCTGCATATATCCAATTCTCCATCTACAAAAAATGATACACGCAAATATTACATTTTAATTACACGACAACAAGGGACTCCATAGTTAGCTTGGTGAATTCCAAACATTGATTTACATACAAATAAATAAAATTTTTAAAATCAAATTAGATGTATCTCTTTGAGAGCAAAAACGATCTCAGTAAGGATGAACGTTCCTGCTCAATCCGCTAGCATTGGCGAAGAACCCAAACAGATCTTGCCTATACGGCAAATAAGACTTGCGTTTATCACTCTCTTTTCTCGCTCTATTCATCACATAATGCTTCTCGTGCGCCGACCACGCCGTTTTCCCCTTCTTCACCTCAACCTTCTTTACCACCACGTTTCTCGCCTTCTCAGCTTTCGCCGCCGGCGCCTCATTCAAGAACACGAACGTGTCCTTGCCGTCGCTGTTGCTCCGCAGCCTCACGTCGCGGAGCCTCCACAGCTTCGAGAACCCCGTCGAGTTGCTCTTCCCCGGCGTTTTCGGAGTCCACTCGCAGTAAGGACCCTCCGGCGCTGGCGCCGCCGATGGAGATGGAGAATCGTACTGCTGTTCCACGAAGAGTTTCTTTATCGGCGGCCGGAGACCGTCGGCGCCGTCGTAAACGTCGGAAAATAGAAGATCTTGGTTGAAAATCGGAAACACCGGACGAATCTGGCCGTTGTCGAAGGCGTCGTCGGCGGAGATCGGCGATCCATCGGGATTCGCGAGCATGAAGCTAAACTCTTCTTCTTCCTCCTCTTCTTCTACTTCCTCTTCGTTTCCATTTTCGTTTTCGTTTTCATTTTGCACGTTTTCTTCGTCGATTTTGAGCTTGGCCATGAAATCGTGATCGAACTTTCCAGAAATCTCAGCGATTTCGACGGAAGAATCCATAATCTTAGACGACAAGGGTAAAACCGAAACGGCTTGCATTCCAGTGAGTGTTCGTTTGCGTTTTGAGGTGTTTTTGGCAATTTCGAAATTGAAAGGATGGTTATTGAGATGGTAGTTGGAGTTCATACAGTGAAGAGAAATGCGGTAATGGTTTGGGTTTTATATAGGCGAGTTGAGGAGATTCTTCAACTTTTAGTTACCTTTGATTTTTATTCGGTTGTTTGAATTTTATTTTTTTTGGCTTTTCCAGTTTTAATATTTTGATTGTGCTTTCACACGCTGCACGTGTTCAAGCGGAAACACGTAGACTTGCTTTACCTTCGTGGTCCCTTCCAGAAGGAGGGAATTTGAATTATTCGTTTAAAAATTAAAAAATTTAAAATTGGGGATGATTTTTGATGGTGCAGAGATCACGGGCTATGTAACAGGAAATTGACAGTGGGTGATCTCAGTGATGACTTGGGTAACTGCGTTGTTACGTAATTGCTTTGTTAGTTTTCTTGTTGCCAAAGGTTGCGAACTATTTGTTTAATGAGGAGTCGCACCAAGGTTTTGTTTTTTGGAGTTGATCTTCTAAATATTAATAATTAATGTCTGAGAAATAGCTAAAGAAATTATGGGAAAGCGAACGATTTGTATGTCACGTAGGACAATATATTAATTATTGTTCAAAGATTTACTATGCACATTAAGAAATATATATCTAAGATTAGAATAGTAGACTGGTTCAATTCTTCGTATGAGTTTTTGAATGTTGATGGCGAGGAGACGCGTTGATTAATTGGGTTCTGCAGTTAGAAGCAAACAGAAAATTATTGTTACGCGTCTTAAAGTTTTTCTTTTTCAATTTTTCGTCTGTTGAGATATGTGATTAACGGCTCCTTTGTTTAATTTTTTTAATAAAATTTATTACTTCTTTTTTTTATTTGGTTGATGCTATAAAAATTTAAAATATTCTAATTTTAACGTTTTTATATAAGTTGTTTTGAATGCATTTTTAAATTAAAATTATAACTGTGCATTCAAATATTTTTTATCATTGTAGCCAAATAATTTTTATAAAATCTTTAAAAATAAATAGTTTTTCATACACTCTAAAAATTGCTTTTTTGAAAATTTGAAACAAAATAAATATAATTGTAAATTACGTATGTGTAATTAAAGTTAATAAAATATAAATAAATAAATAAAATCATTTTGGGGGTACTCTCAATATAAAAATATTAGCTTAATTAGACTTTTAGTCTCTTAATTTATGTGTTTATTGGACTTTGGTCTCTCAAATTTCAATTATGTGATTTGAGTTGTCATTCAAATTTTAATTGATCAGTGAAATAGATGTTAATGGTGTTAGAGTGATCAGCTATAAAAGTTATTGATTACTTAATTAATGACTCGTAGATTAATTAATGTGTTTATGATCACTTTTAACTAAACATAAAATTAGGATTTCAAATTTAAATCATTTTTATTCAAAATCAAAATTAGGAATGTCTTCACCAGTGAGTGAGAGTATTCTTAGGGTTCATTTAGTAGTGCATGAAATCAGAACTATAATTTTAATTTCAATTTCATCATAATTGAAATTAGTTCAGAATTACAATTCTATATTTAGCATGCTCAAAGAATTGGAATGTAGAAATAGAATTCAAAATTAAAATTAAATTTTACAGTGTGGTATAAGATTTAAATTTTAAAAAATAATTTAATTTACATTCAAATTTTATTTAATAACTTTTTCAAAAATAATGTGTTAACTAAAGTTACAAAATAATAATTAAAAAAATTGTTAAAGATAATAACTTTATTTTCTTTTTAAAAATTATGATACAATAAATTTATTTTTTATGTTTAATTTATCATTAAAATTTAATATTATGTTATGAACTATCTTTCTTATGTATTAGATGAAAGCATACGAATGTTCATAAAAATAATTTAATTCTTAAAATTAAATATATAAATAGAAACACTGTAACAGATTCTTTTATACTTACATGATAAGTAAAACATAATTGATTAAAGTAATTTTCATTAGTCCATGTATAATCGCCTCAAAGGTATACTTTGTAATGTGTCTTTATCACTTTGTTGCATATAGTACTAGTTTTCTCTTCTTTTTGTTTTCTCTTTTACTCTCAAACGTTATTGAATTAATTTATAATATTTCCTTCAACATCTAATAATTCAAGAAAAATATTAAACAAATTATTATACAATTAACATAAATAATATAGTTTACAGTAAATGCAAACTAGCAATAGATAATAATATGACACAATGAAAAGGAAAAAATAAAGAAAAAGAAAGAAGAAAACGTAAAACAAAGAATAGAAAAAAAATGTAAAAAAAAATGTAAAAGAGTAATAAAAAGAATTAGAAAGGAAAAGAAATAGAGAAAAATCACTTTTATTTATAATCTGTAGAAGGTTAATTTCTCCATGATCAAGAAGCTTATACATCAAGAAGTGATCCAAGAATTTCTTATTGCTTAAAGAAAATAGAGTATTCAAAAAAATTGAATAATAATCTCTCAACCTAACTTAAAAAGAGTAATTCGAACAATATACAAAGGAGAAGAGGAAATAATTAGTCATTGCTGATTTAATGAAATTAGTTAGCTCAACTATAAGTAATTAGTTAGATTTATTAGGACCATTCTATGCAAAATTTAACATAATCAATGTGAAATGAGGGGAAAAAGAATAGAAAAAAAAGGAGAAGGTATTAATAATTAATATAAAAGTGGAGTTAAAAATAAGAAAATAATATAAAAAAAAGGGAAGAATATAAGATCAGGAAGAAAGATACATGCTAAAAAAATAATAAAGGAAAAAAGAGAAAAAAAGTACTAAGTAAGAAAATATATAGAGAAAAACAAAAATTATGAAGATAAAAAACTACATAAATAAAGAAGAAGAAAAGACATACAAGTGAGTGTATTTATGAATTATAACTTACATAAACAAAAATGAGGAGGAGACACGATGGTGAGAGTGTATTTATAAAATATGATATTAGAAATTTAAATTTATAAAATATATGTTAGGAATTGAAGTTAGACAAATTTAATTGTCTAAAAATTTTATAAACTAATCCATAAAATTATAATTCTAATTCTAAATAAACATTTAAATATAATAATTAAAATTCTAAAAATTATTTCTAATTTCAACGTCTAATTCCATAGACCAAATGGTCACTTAAAGAATTTAGGCAAAATAAGGAATCATACATTGTAATAAAAAATTCACCAAAAATAACAATTTCATTACATCATGACGACCCATCTCCAATTCCTTTACGAAGAAATGCAAATTCATACCTTTTACTATCTCTTAATCATATGCATTTTAATTAATAATGAATTATTTTATAAACATATATTAACTTTACATGCTAGCATGTATATTAGCCAAAGTACGATAATTATCATACACATCAATAAACACAACTAACAATTAGATAACAACTTAAGGTAGTGATCATAATTAAAAAATAAGCTGAAATTGAATAAACATAAAAGTTGGACACAAAGTGCAATTAATCCCAAAAAAGTTACATTATCATTCAATTATAATAAACTTTAAATTTATTTGTACAATACTAAACTTTAGGAGACGTGGGAAACTTTCAAAATTGAAACAATTAATGCTTAGCATTCTGGCATTCTTTCTCTTGCACGAAGGAGACGGTGAAGGCAGCAGTGATGTTAGCACAGGTGGGTGATTATGGCATCACCTTATATATTTATTTGTACAATACCATTCGAAGAATTCAACTGATATTTATTAAAAAAAATTATATATGTTAAGATTTTTTTAATGAATTATAGTTAATTTTCCAATAAATAAATATTTTTAAGATATTAATTAATATTTTATTTATATGTTCAGTGAAACGATCTATTCAATATTTACGGAATATTTGTTATCTTTTTTATTACATTTTGTGACCTGTAATCGTTTATTTATTTGCCAAATTAATTTTTAATATGCATTTAAAGATACATAAACAAACAATTAGTAAATATTAAAATTTGATAACATATCTTTAAACACATGTTATCAAATACACATGCTCATTTTTATTTGACAGTTTGACAAATAAACAAAGTTGTAGTACAATACAAGTGAATATTTTGATTCCGATTTCTTGGCACCCAAGCACAGCGCTGACCTCTTAAAGGTGGTCCTACTCCTAACCCAAGTTTGACTCGTCTATTTCCAATTTTGGCATTCAAATTTTGTGAAGGTGGAGGATATGCTTCTGCTTCTAGAATTGAACGTGTGCAATAAATTGACCCAAGTGATTCCACCCCATTTTACTGCGTCTTAGGAATTTTTCATTATAGTATTGCTATTTCTATAAAATATTTAGCACCAACTCTGTTCAATTTTAATATATGCTACTTGTTTGAAAACGACAGACACAGAGAGTTAGCTCACAAATCATTCGTATAATTCTTCATTACTCGACTATTTAAGGGTGTGCCAACAAGTCAACATCTCAAAGATTAAAAAATAAATAAAAATTATAAAAAGTATTTAAATAATATTTATATATTGATAATAATTAATTATTTTTAATTTTTGGCCCATTATTTTAAGCAAGTTAAAGCAAGCTGGTCCATTGGTCCAAGGCAACTTTATCATCCCTAGACAGAGGGGCTGCCACACCCCTTTCTTTGGGTATTTTAAAATTTTAAACAATTAATGAAAAAAAATTACAGTAGTTCAATGTCCATCATTTGCAATGTTTTGTGTTTGGATAATTCTATTTTAAAAAATACATCCCCATATTCGCTGCCTAGAAATTTACTATTACAAATAACAAAAATGCTTTTGAGTACAATTTTTTTTCTACTATACATTGCAAATAAATACAGGACAACGTGATTGGTGTAAAAAATTTCTCTCTTTTCTAAAAAATTTAACCGCTCTTTCTTTGATTGGTTAGTTTTTCTTTTCTTAAAATTCATACTCCTTTAATTCGTAGCAGAGAGCAATGCTTCTTACAATAATTACAAATTTTTTCTCTCGTCTTCGTCAAATTCAATCACTCTACTACCTTTGCAGATTCACATTTAAGCCATCAAAATCATCATCATTGAATCACTTGATACTGATTCTAGCAAAGCATAAGCATCAAATTTTGTTGAGTTGTTTTAGCATCAATTAGTTCAGTTTACCCTTGTGAAGAATAGCAAAAGGAAAGTACGTCCTCATTATAATTAACTAGATCCGTTGACCCATATAAAATCATCAATAATGAACACAGTTAATGTCCAAGAACCTAATCAATAACTATTTCCAAATCTAGGAAATTTCTTTTAGGAAACATCGAACACTCGATGTTATACCATTGTTGACGTTCTTACACCATCTTTAATGGTGGTTGTTTTAGAAAAGAAAACTGATTAAGCAACTGTTTCTTATTATTGGATACCGATAGAGTACTCCACCGGGTCATTAGTATTATGCAATTTGTTCCTTATGAAAGAAACGGTATAACTTAGTAGAAATGGGACCAAGATTGTACGAATTAAAAAATAAATAAAAAGCTCCAAAAACAACTTCTTCCTGCAAATATACACTAAATAATTTTATAGAATTGCGTTATTGGATAGAAAAGTTGTTTAATTTGTATAGCATAAAAATACACAATGTGTAATATTAGATTCTACAATATAAATAAATAAATAATATATAATTATGCAACTCACTCTAATTGTACCATTATTTATGCTCTTATACACTGCCATTAATCAGTACTTCGAAGTTACAGATGATAGATATTTTATCGCGGTTCTTATTTAGCTTCTTTTTTTTTTAAAAAAAAATACAATGTAAAAGATAGTTATTTTCAAAATAATGAAGTTTTCTTAATACTCTAAAAATAAATCAATTCTCAACTAGTCTTTTTATATTTATTTGCACAAAAAATAATTGAAAAAAATGCTATCTTTTTGTGCAAGCGTAACTCCATTATCAGAATACAAAATTGAAGATCACTTTTGTATAGTATTTTTTTAAAACAATAATTTGTGCATAAAATAATAAAATTAAGTTGTAGGAAGTGAAAATGTGTCATCTTTATAATTATCAATAAGAATAAATAAAATAATTATATTTTTTGTCAACATGTAAAAAACATTATCTAGCATCTTGTTAAATGGGTGAAAAGATATAGTCTTGAAGCCCAATCCAATAGGAGAATTGAGTCGGGTCAAACGGCAGGGACCCAATCCAGATAACGGTACGGGCAAAACCCGGTAGTTAGTTAGTTAGTTAGATTCGGACATGGAAGACGTTGGGGTTTTATGTTGCGCGGTAACCCGAAATTCAAGGGGAGAAGACAAAAACAGTGACACTTGGATCCTCAACCAACCCAGCCAAAACGAACATGAATGTTTCCAAATTGCAAACATGAAACTAACTACCTAAATTAAAGCTAACACAGAATGTTTGTTCAGGCCTTTTGATTCTTTTGCATTTCGCACTGTCCACCAATTTTCAAAATTATTGTAATCATTTTTTCCTCTTTCTTCCATTTCCGACACACACCCTCTCTCTCTACGCGTCGCGACGTGCTGGCAATTTCCAATTTCAACGATTCGTTGGCCACTTCATCATCATAATTCAATCCCTTTCTTTAAACAACGAGAACCCCATGTTATTGTTTTTGTTGCTCTTTCTGCTTTGATCCTCAAGACTGAACCTTCGTTTTCAGAATCTGTTTCCCAGTTCTAATACCGTTCGTTTGTCCCCATTGGCATTTCCTCTGTTTTTTTTCTTTTCTTTTTCTAAAGTTTGTCGCCATTTCTGAGAATCAAGTTGAGAGTTTTAAGAGAATCAGAAATGGCTAACGAAAATTTAGACAAGGCTTCAAATGGGTCATCTTCATCTGATTCAGATAATGCTTCGAATGGGTCATCTTCGTCTGATTCAGATAATAATGCTTCAAATGGAACATCTACCTCTGATTCAGATAAAGCTTCAAATGGGACATCTACATCTGATTCAGTTAAAGCTTCAAATGGAACATCTACATCTGATTCAGATAAACCTTCAAATGGGACATCTACATCTGATTCAGATAAAGCTTCAAATGGAACATCTACATCTGATTCAGATAATAATGCTTCAAAAGGGTCATCTTCACCAAAAGAAAATTCAGATAAGGCTTCAAATGCTTCATCATCAGATTCAGACAAGGGTCCGGCTCCCTCACCAAAATCATCTGTCTCAGAATCTCCGAAAAGTGCACCATCATTATCTCCGCCGCCGGCAACTCCGCCCCCTTCTCCACCACCTTCTCCGTCTCCCCCACCACCGCCGTCAAAAAAATCAGCCCCTCCACCCTCTCCACCGCCGCCATCGCCATCGCCATCACCGTCACCACCACCACGACCACCACCATCACCATCACCATCACCATCACCATCACCGCCATCACCATCGGCATCACCACCGTCACAACCGTCACCACTACCACCACCACCCTCTCAACAATTACCTCCGTCACAACCTCTTGTCCCTCCTCCTCCTCCTCCTCCTTCGCCTTGGGTTTCGCCTCCAACGCCACCTTCTCCTTCTTCCCATGGTTCAGGTTCAAACCACTCTCCACCTCCACCATCGCAATCACCACCAAATTCCCGTTCAAAACCAAGCACCACTTCTCCCCAAAGCGATTCTCCTTCGACGTCACCTAGCTCCCGTAACAACACAGCAGAATATGTTGGTTTTGCTCTCGCCGGATTTTTCCTTATTGCCTTTGTTGCAGCAGTTCTATTTTTTGTATTGAGAAAGAGGAAAAAGCGAGGGAGTATCTACGCCGTGCCACCCCATAAAAAACCTCATATGAAAGGAGGTAAACCTTATATTTTCTGTCCTCATTTTCTTCAACGTTATCGCTCATTATCAAACATAATGCTTATAGGTATAATCAATTAAAACATCATGATGCATTAAAATAATCATTGAAGAACTTAAGTCACGTAACTTTAGTGTTTTTTTTATGCTTTCAATTAAACTTTTATCATATACATCAGTGCCAATCCCTGTTACATGAGTTATTGTAGTAATTAATATACAGTATTTAAAATGTATTTAAAATTTAATTTCTTTTAGAACATTCTCTTTTAAATCTTTCTATTTATTAAATAAAAAGAATCCATTTTACTTTTTCATGACATTAAACACACATTTTTATTTAATATTTATTACCCATAAAAAAATAAAAAATGAAAAGATTTTGTTAAAAATTATTATTAATGCACTATCATTTCCAGTGTATTTTTAACATAATTTCCAATGAAATTTTTTAATTTTAATTTCTTAACCAATAAATTTATAGAATATTAGGAGGATTAGTACAAGCATCTAAATTACTTTTGTATTGAAATCTATGATAATGTTATTCTAATTTATCACCAACTTCAAATTGATTGTGTCCATTGGGACTGTGTTGATGCTAGAATTATTGTGGTGTTGTACAAGTAATCCCTTGTGCATCTTGCTTTCACGTCTAATGATTTTGGTATGGCTTTCATCAGGTGCTGATTTGCATTACTATGTACAGGAGCCTGGTTATGCCAATGGTCCACAAGATGGGTATTATGCTTCACAGCCTACCCATGCAGGTGCCATGCAGCATATAAGAAGTTCTTCAGACACGGCTCAGCCCATGAACACCGGTCAGATAGTTTTCACCTATGATAAGATTGCGGAAATTACAAGCAACTTTTCTAGTGAAAACGTAATAGGAGAGGGGGGATTTGGGTGTGTTTACAAGGCTTCAATGCCAGATGGAAGAGTTGGAGCAGTTAAGATATTGAAGGCTGGTAGTGGACAAGGAGAAAGAGAGTTCAGGGCTGAAGTTGAGATTATTAGCCGTGTACATCATCGACATTTGGTATCATTAATTGGTTATTGCATAGCAGAGCAGGAAAGAGTGCTTATCTATGAGTATGTTCCTAATGGGAATCTCGATCAGCACTTGCATGGTAATGTGAGTTTCCTTTTAGTTTTTTGTTCTCACATGAGTTTGTGTTTTGTATATTTTTTAAGTGATTCTTATGTCTTTGTGTTGTTTGTATGTGTCCTGCTCACAGGAAATGATATGCCAATTTTGGAATGGCCCAAGAGGGTGAAGATAGCAATTGGTGCTGCAAGGGGCCTAGCATATCTCCATGAAGGCTGTAAGTTTATCTTGTATTTGTGCTATGCGATTATCTGTTCTTACTTTTACAAATTACAATGCAATAAAGCACAATTTTTTATCATGAGAACATGATGCGAGTTCACTAGAACAATTGATAAGGAAATGATTTTTTGCACATGGGCTGAAGGAAAAAATATAGTAACCGTAGAGTTCCTAATCTTGTACACTTCTTTCCCATTTCATATTTTAATTATCACTATGGTAATTTTGTGTATTTCTGAAAGCTAAAGTATTTTACTTGTTTCTAGGCAACCCAAGGATTATTCACAGAGATATTAAGTCGGCAAACATACTTCTAGATGATGCTTACGAGGCTCAGGTATTCATGTACTCATTTACGTATATAAAAGTTTGTAGTTGGGTTCCGAGAACTCATGTGGGTTAGAGCATGTATCCAGGCTTAAAGAGTGCTTATAACATACTTTTTATGGGCAAAACTTAGGTGTAATACCAAAGGTACTTTTTGTGCTGTTCTCTAGTAAGAATTGGAGTTTCACTTCGGTAATGTATGTCAACTTCTAATGTTAATTTTTATTACGTGAATAATTAAGGTGAAACTTCAGTTTTGATAGGAGAATAACATTGAAAACACTTATATAGTACTACACTTAAGTTTTGTTATGTTTCTCTCTCATTCAAGTTAAGTCATGAATCTTAATTTAGCCTTGGTTAACACAGGTTGCAGACTTTGGACTTGCCAGGCTAACCGACGATGCTAATACCCACGTATCAACAAGGGTGATGGGGACCTTCGGGTAGGTTTGCTGGGTTTAAAACATAAAGCCATGCATTGTATTGTATATGATCTTTCATGAAGGTTGCCAATTGCTATAAATGGGAAACAAACAAATTTTTGGTTGGAAAAAGAAAGGAAAATAGAAGTTTATGTAATGATATTGTATACAAATAGTGGGTTTAGAACGTAGTATTCTGAAAATACCCTAGAGATTTATTTCAGTTGAAATACTACTCTTTCAATGATGCTAGAGATTTACATTACTCTTTATTGGGACGAAGTGGCTTTTATGTTGTGAAGCCACCTCTTAAGGTTTGAGTTTATAATAAAAACCTTTTATCAGAGAAAACCTTCTGTAATGCCAAATGCTAAACTACCACATTCTGTAACTCATTCTAGCTTCAATTTACAGGTACATGGCTCCAGAGTATGCAACAAGCGGAAAATTAACAGATAGATCAGATGTTTTCTCTTTTGGAGTTGTCCTTCTTGAGCTTATAACTGGAAGAAAACCTGTTGATCCAACACAGCCAATTGGAGAAGAGAGTTTGGTTGAGTGGGTACGTATGCACCTTTTTCTTATTTTGTGAAGTGAAATACACTGAAATTTGAACTTATCTATTTCCTTAAGAGTGGAATTGAAGTTCTTAGTACACAGTATCATAAACAGAAAGATACTAAAATTTCATATTTCAAGTTTGCACATTCTCCATTAGACCAATCATTTTTAACATGTCCAAGTGCATCTTCTGATTTTGGTTATGCTTTTCTTGCCAAATGTCTTACAAACTGTGCACTTTGAATGATATTTTCATATGGCCACAGGCTCGTCCACTCCTCCTTCGTGCAGTTGAGACAGGTGACTTTGGTGAACTAGTAGATCCAAGGCTTGAAAGGCAATACATTGACAGTGAAATGTTCAGAATGATTGAGGCAGCTGCAGCATGCGTTCGCCATTCTGCTCCAAAACGGCCTCGTATGGTTCAGGTGATAACAATACTAAGGATCTATTTGGAAAGAGCTTATTGAATCAGTGCTAATAAGCTGTTTATCAAAGTACACTAAGATAAATTATTATGTGGTTTTGATTGTGTGTTTGCTTCACTTTTGACATAATTATCTGCATTTGTGTCATTTCTGTCTTAACTCTTTCAAATCATTTACTAATATTTCCCTTGGTTTTTATCAGGTGGTCAGAGCCTTAGATAGTGGAGATCAACAATATGATCTATCTAATGGGGTGAAATATGGTCAAAGCACTGTGTATGATTCTGGCCAGTATAATGAAGACATCATGAGATTCAGAAGGTTGGCTAATGGCAGCTTTGGTGATTCTGAGTATGACATGTACAGCGAATACAATTCAAAAGACATGGCTGGAGCCAAACATAGAAGGATGACATCTAGTGCAGGTGGTGATTCAGAATTTAAAGCTTTGAACAGCCAAAGTACCAGTGCCCAGAACATGTAACACTAATGAGCATAGGCATGTTGGAGTTCCAGCAAGGCTTTTGGTTTTAACCAAACTAATTTTGCCAAACTCTCTATCCTGTAACCAAAACTAACTTCACCAAAATCATCATCGTGCCATTGCATCATCTTACAAAGCACCATGGAATGGTTTACAAAGATTTGAACTATGACTTTCATCCAAAATTCCCATCATGAAAGTTGAAATATATTGAGATGGTCTATGTTTGTCTTACACCAATCAAATAACACTAATTCTTTTATGTCTTCAATTTTGTTCTGTTTTTCTTTCCCCCATTTTTTTAATAGCGGGGGACATGAAAGCTTGTAAGTATATGTTTGTTGAGTTTGCTTTTTGATGTGTATTGTTATAAATAGATATCTCTTATTGATGCGGGATTAGGAAGATTGATTTTCTTACTGCATGTCGGTACTGGTAGATTAGTTTATATTAAAAAGTTATAATACTGGTATGAAAGCTTATATTTTCTGAATTTATGTTTTGCGGCAATGAGTACCCGTGGATTGTGAATATGGAGCAAGATACAAATGAGGGGTTTATAGATAAATGCTTGTAGACCATAATTATTAGAAGCATCAAATATTGGAATTTGGAGGTGTTAAAGCCGTTAGAATTGAGCTAACGGTGAGAGCTTTATATAGTTCACATAAGTTATAAGTTAAAACATCGTTGCTATTGTTATACCAAAAGTTAAGAAAAAAATGTTGGATGTGTTTTGGTATGTTTGCTAGGACGCATGTTCAAAACTTGTAAGCAGGACATCAAAATGGATTGCAAAATTTTAGTGGGGATTGTTGTGTGACTTATACGATGATTGTGAGTGGTTTGTTTCTGCAGTTTAATCAAGTGGAAAGTTAAATAAACTACAAATCTGGAGGCCCTTAAACTTAAATTCAATAACTAGCTCAATGGTCTAATTGAATTTGAAACTGAAGGATCAATATTTCCAATTATAAAATTTACCATGTAATTGTTTCTAAACGCAGTTTTTTTTATTATTTAAATAGAACAAACAAGATTTTACCCAATCCCAAGGGATTTATTAGTCACTGGCTAGCATTAACTCCGTTAAGTTAGCCTTTTTTGTTTTTACAGCACAACCTCTTTTTACATATGGTATAGTTTTTGGCTAATCGCTTCTTTGGTTATATTAATCCAGATCCAATGCAAACAAAGTTTCATAAAAATTTCTAAATCAATTATTATATAAAAGAAATTCATATCCATCATAATTTTTTCGCCCGATCGACCCCTCAATTTTAAATTGAATTATTTAAAGTTTTTACACTGCATTTACGTTCACAAATCCATAGTGCAGAGATAACAAAGCCTATTCCCCCCCCCCCCCCCCCTCTAATCTCAAAACAATGGCATAAAAAAGTAGAGAAGATAATTACACATTTCATCTTGCAGCTGCAAATCTAAGTAAATGGAAAACATAGAAGATAAATAGAACACAATGGTATAAAGGGAATAGTTGCCAACAAGAAGATAGCAATGTCTACATATATAATATAATGTTCTCTCATGATTCCATCATGGACCTGCTCTTAGTTTTCCTTCATGACCAAGCTTCATTTCAAAAGTTTTCATGTCAGCATGAGCAATTGGCTTCATTCCTCTGCTTGCTCCATGTCCATGTGCTTGTCCATGTCCATTATAAGGCTTGGAAGCTGCGATTCTTTTGTCAAACCCGAATTCAATGTCCACTTCTTTTGGACGATAGTTATGGTTCTGTGGCTTTTGTTGCTTAACTTGTTTCTGATTGTGACTGTGGCTGTGGCTCCGCCTGTTGCAAAGCCTTCCAAGACAACATGCAACTGCAGAAATGACTATTATTATAGCCAACACAACAAATACTGACCCAAATGACCCATTTGAATGGTGAGGTGGTGATTGGTATGTGACACTAGTTGGATAGACCTGAACTGGTTGCTGTTGCTGCTGAAGTGGCTGAACTTGTAAAGACATTTTCAAGAGCTGAGTGAGAGAATAGAAAATAATTGAGTTGAAGAGTTGTGGGGTGGAGAATAGCTGGATTTGATATTAAGGATGCAACTCTTGTTCTTTGAGTGAAGACCAAGGTAGGTAGATTTGGATTAACTCTTCAAGCACTCAAGCAGATTAGGTGTGAGAATGTAGAGTAGGAATTTAAGTAGGAATTTTTGAATTTAAAAAAGGGGAAGAGGGGAACTTTCTTTATTAAAGAAGGTTGCTAAAGATATTCTGTGTGTTCTTTAACTTATTGGCTCCTCCTGTGGTTGCTTTGTAAGGAGAGAAAGTGAGATCTTGGAGCATCAAGACATAACACTCTCAAGGCCCCATGAAAGTGCAGCTTTTGTTTACTTGGGGTGTTGTTCCCACTTATAATCATTGGGATGATATAGTCACTAATGTAGTCACTACATACCAAATTGTCATAATTTTTTGTTTAGTGGTGCTGTTACTTTTCTTGAAACAAATACAGACGTAGTGTAATGGATATATCAAAAAACACAGGAATGTATGAAAAAAAGTTATATGATGAAAAAAATTGTGTGTGTTGATTAGTTTAATTTTTAATTTAATTTCTATAAAATAATAATATTTTTTAGTATCATTTATATAAAATGATAATATAAAATAAAATAAATAATAATTTTTGAAAAAAATTAAAGATTAAAGTGATGGTTGTTTGTAATTTAAAAGATTAAAAAATATATTTTATTAAAATGAAAACATCCTTAAAAATTTATTCTGTTTTGGTGGACAGTACTACTAAGGGTTGGTCCTTCGTACGAAATACGTAACTGTGGGTTTAAACAAAGTAACTGGTTTTATTAGAAGGATGTTGTGATGCTGATGCATATTAGGAGTCACTAGTCAAGGATTTCTTCGAAATCTGTGAAAGGGGGAACACAACAGCAGAGAGCAGTGTTGTTTTACTAAGATTGGGATCTGTGCAAAAGCATCAACCACTAACAATTCCAAGAGCAATCTTATTAGCTTAATGCGGTCACCCTGCCCTAGTTGTCCTTTTTTAAAGAGGGAATCTACTTGTGAGTGTTGAGTTGGTATAGATATTAATTTCAGATACGTTAACTTTGTTATCTCATACACATTCGAGCTAGTTAATTTTAGGAGAAAGAAAGGGAAAAAAAAATTATTTGATGATACTTTTTGTTTGAAAATTGTTAAATGTAAAAGAAAGTTTTATAAATTTATGTTTTTAAATTTTTTAAATTAAAAAATGATAAATTTTTCCTTATTTTTAGTTTTTTATCCCAAATTTTAAAAACAATTAAAGTAGAATTTTATATTTGAGAATAAAATTAAAAATGATTTTGAAGAATTAGAAGTTTCAGATAAAAGAAATGCTTTTTTTTTTTATTTTAATCTTGTAAAATTTACGTGGTATTGTTTTTTTATGAAGGAATAAAACTATACAAGACAAAAAATTAAAATTATATTATTTTTTTAGGATGATAGATGAAATACTCATAATGCAGTTTTTTTTATTGAAAAATACTTTTGAAATGTATTTTATCATAATAAAAATATATCAATGATGATTTTTAACAAAAAATAATTTTAACACTCTAAAAATATTGGTTAACAAAAATAATGTTTTAGGTAAACTGGATTGGAATGTGATTCCTTCCTTAGCCAAAGGAGATTAATACGAAGTAGCAATGAGTGAAAGGGGGGGTAAAACCCAGACATCTTTTCAGTGGAGAAAGTCACCATGCAGTAAAGGGAAAATAGTATTTATGAGGCAACCACTTTGAATTGAAAAAGGGTTAGATAACCGCACAAAGCGTGCCAGAAGGGGTTGGAGAATAATTCTACTTCCACTCTTCCAGCAATGAGAATATAATTCTCCTTCCAAAGCTTCGGTTCCAGCGTGGTCACTGCCTGCCATCGCATCATGTCAGTTCTTACAATGAAACTACACAAAATCGTTTAAAGAGACAATTGTTATAATTATTAATTGTTTTAACTTAATCTTAATTTATGCATGTATCTTAGCTTCATCAAATCAATTCTACTCCACTTTAAATTAAAGACACAATTAGTGGTGCAAAATTATCAGTCAAACAGAAACGAGAAGAATTTAGGTTTCTTGTTAATGATCTTGACACCTAGAAATTATTCCCTCATTAAGGAATCTGGGTTTGATCAATCAAATTTGACCAATTTCTATCATGTTAGTATAATTTTCTTAACTTACATAACGGACAAAATAGACGACAGAGATTCAAGTCAAAACAAGCAGCATCGCCATCAAAAGCATTGTCAGCAACAGCATATTTGTCTGCAAAAGGATTTCATACTTGCTTGTCTTTATGAGCGCAAGAAGTCAGAAATTTCAGTATAACCTGATAGTGTAAAGCACTTTTTTTCTTGGACCTTAATGCTTCTACTCATCTTTTACAACCGCAATTTTTTACGCATATTTATTAATTTTATATTATTTAGAAAATAATTATTGTCTTTCTACTTTATGGGCCAGACTTGATATGGATCAGTGAAGCCCATGAACAGGTGCTGATGGGCCTCGCTTCGGGTATCGTTTTCTTATTTTTAACTTCGAAACCAGTGTTTAGTTCTGCGCGCGAATTCGAGAGGTTTGATTCTGAAATGGAGTTCTCTTCGACTCAGAAACTGTGCTTACATGTGAGCTTTTTCTTCTTTTTACAGCCAAATGTTCTAATATATTATACTAAATTTTTTCTATGATTTTCTCATTGGTTCGCTTATGTGAATTTGTGGTCACATTGCATGCGAGTTTCATCTTTTCATGAAAGCTACAATGGTTAAAATTTGTTTTCTCGGGTTTCGTGATTGGTTCGGTTATGTATGTGATGTGAATCTGCGATCGCAGTTAATATCTTCAGCATATCAGAGATGCCGATTATCCGAGCAGATGTGCAGACTCGCCGTCGTTCTCACTCGCTCTTCATCCTCTCTTCGAATTTCAAGTAATAACATGTGTGCAAGTATTTGGACACTCGCTCTCGAATGCTTATTTTATTATTAGATGAATTTATAAATTTAGACTTTACGATTTTATATTTTAAATTTATTCAATTTTCAGGAATTTTTAATTAACAAAAAATAAGTCTAAACTATGTCACTCGGTAACTTGATGAGGGATTACAATTATAAGAAGAATGATTCTAAGGGTTTGTTTGGCGCATGGAATTGGAACTGTAATTCTGAAATATAACTTCAATTCCAAATTTACCAGAATTAGAATTGGATTGGAATCACAATTCCGTTGTTTGGATTATGCAAAGAATTTGATCGTATAATTATTTTAAGTTGACTTTGACACATTTGGCCAAGTAGGGGTAGTTATCGGTAAGAGTTAGGATTGAAGTGAAAAAATAATAATTCACATGTGGTAATGACGATGATAGGGTGAGTGGATGGTGGTGGTGGAGACAGTCGGTGGTGGCAACAGACAGACTGACGATGGGGGTGAGGGGGTGACAGTGGCAACAATTGATGGTAGTGGTGACAAATGACAATATTGGCAACAACAGGGACAATCAGTGGTAGTGATATGGTAGTAAGAGGTGGCAATGGTAGCAACAGCACTAGTGGCAGTGGAAGCAGCAAAAGTTGAGGATAGGAATTGGAACTCAGAGAATACAGGTTAAGAATTGAAAAATGTTGGTTTAGTTATATTAGAACTCTATAGAATTGGACCTTGGAATTGCGATTCCAATTATAAAAAGATTTCTAAACATCTGTGCTCACATTGCATGCGTTTTCCTTCAAGAGTGACGATCTTTTTCTTTTGAATTTGAATTTTTTGTGAGCAGTCTCTGATACTGGCCTTGGGAGCTGCTTAGAGGAATTTCAAGACTTGAGGTTTTATTGCACAAATGTTGCTGACAATTGGGGTAACTGAACGATTCACGATTACCATTAGAGTTAAATTTATCCCCACCCTTTCTTCAAGTCATTTGAAATTATTTACTGTTTTATTCCCCATTGTAAAACAGATGGAATGCTTTATATCAAAACCACCTGTAAGTTCTCATGGTAGTTGTGCTTTGATCTGATTGACATATAGACATCCCACGTGCACAAATTTGAAAAACGATAACTATTTTGTATCTGCACAATTCAATTGCTATTGCTTATAATATGGGAGGTAATGTGCCTAATTTTCTGTCAAAGGAAAATGGTTTTAAACCTTTTTTTTAATGTATTTTTAATCCGTAAATATTTTTTTGATATAAATTCTGCTTTTATCAGCCATGTGAAAACATATCAATTTCTTATTTAGTCCTTTATGCTGTGTAATTATACTATGTCGTGGTTCAAGAGTGACGCAGATTTCAACTATTTAATATATTACCATGTCTAGTTTATTTGTTGTCACAATTCTTAATGCACTCTAAGGAAATTGTAGGCATCAGTGATTCTGAGATACATAGTTATCAGATTAATCTGAAAGACAGTGGTTCCTCTGGAATAACTAGACTGCCTTCGCACACAAAAAATGGTGTAAAATTCAGGCAAGCTAATTATTGAACTACATTAATTTAAGACTAATTTGTTAGTTATGTTTCTTTCTAATACTTGTGTTCTTGTGTTATCTTCCAGTGGTAGTGAAGTTTGTCTATCTTCTTTAGTTAGCCTTGATCTCTTACTAGCTGATATTCATAGCTTTTTACAGAAGGTATGTTGGCTTTCTTGTGCTACTTTGTCTAATCTTTTTATTTTCAAAATTTAAATTACTTGGGATATATGAAAAAGATTGTGGTAATCAGATATTTCAATCTAAATTAGTTTAATCAAATAGCTTAATTATCATTGTGCCTGGATCATGCCACATTCCTAGATTAATGGCAATCATTGCAATTATCTTTATGCAAAATTTTAAGCACAAACCATGATCGACATGCTCGGGCATGGCACTTGGAAATACACTAATCTATATGCTAGGAATTTACATTTACTGCTTTAAACTAACATGGGTCTGCAGCATAATGAATTTTCAACTATTAGAAAGCACTGACAAATCAAGACCCTCCCTAAGGTTGTATATCAGAAGTTTTTGTCATTTTTCACATCTCCTTTAAGGCAGTATGTAAAGCAATTTGATTTATCTTAAGTTGCTAGTTTGAGAAACCAAAGAATGTGAGTGCTTCTTTTTTCTAGAATTTCTAGAACCGTGCACTGAAAAATAAGAAAAATCTTCACCTGACAAATAAGAAACAGATGAACAAAAGGGAAATAAAGATAAACATTATCAAGAAAAAAATATGAGGGAAAATTACTGTGCCTGAATGTGCTAACTGCTAAGTTTGCTGTAGCTTTTCTTGTTCTTCAATGAAATATCAGAATTGAAGCTATATTATTCAAATGATTTTGTTGAAGTTGTAACTTTGCTCTGTTTTTCTACAAAAATTCTGCCGTTTACATTTATGTATCAAATTTCATATTCTTTATATTTATTATTTATTTATTTTTTGATTTTGCAGATGCTAATTTTAAGGATTCCTGTAAGTTAAACTGACATAAGTGCAGAATTTTCAAATGCAATCACATTCTTTCAAACAACTATAAATTTGCAGTATGTCAATGCTGTTGCTGGAGAGCAATTTATCAACAGTTAATAAATCTACAATATCAGATCGCCAAATTGCACTTCCATATTATTGATATTATCCAAAGCAATGTTACAAATTAAATGCAGAACTCTTGGTTGAGATTATGACAAAGTTTTAGTTGTTCGTTTTGAATTTTCTGATGTCCAGAATGTTGCAATTCAATTAAGCGCAGAAGATTGCAATTTACCTGAATCACGATATGAAAGGCTTTTTCTTGCAAATGAGTGCAAGCAATTACCTATGTCAGCATCAAATTTTGAACTTCTTAAGTCAGGCATCGAAGACTATGTACTTAAGCATGGAAATAATTTAAGTAACAAGTGTAGCTCTTGCTTCCCAAGTTGGTACATTCATTTCTCAAGTCTACTTCCCATTTATCATTCAGGATCATAATGTTTTATTTGTTCTAGACTTAATAGATTGATTAGTTTCCTGCAAGTCTCTAGAAGAGTTATTTTCTATTCTGCTAGATTTTGATTATATCATCCTAAAGTTTTGAGATATATTGATTGTCACTTGAACATTAAAATTCCCTCTATTTACCACTCTTTATACAGGTAATGTAATGCATAGTAGTTTTCGATTTTTCATAGACTCATATTCAGTTACATTGCAGAACCCTAAATATATGAAATTATCCAGACAATTTGTGGTGTCTAATATTGATGCCTGTTAGCCAATTTTTCATGTGAACTGTAATGGGTTGTTATTAGTTGATCTGTAAAATTGTATATTATTTGTGTAGGAAAAATGTCACATCTAGAATGAAATGTGAGAACTTCTTTTGCATGGTTTCTCTAAGCCTTCTAAAAATATTTACTTTCTTTGTGAATACGGGGGCCTCTAGATTCTTAAAATACAGTGCCAATGGATTTGAAATTATCTACCTTTTGAAACCTTGTAAGGGAGCAGCTCAAGGTTGGAAGTGGTGTAACTTGCTGTACTGATAATCATCTACACACTGAACTGGTGATGGAGGCAGTCATAGTAATCAGTAATATATCAATGCAGAACACTACGTGCTTCAGGAACTATGGCGATAAAACAGAGGTTTGTCAAAAAGACCTCTGAATTATATGCTTCAGTTCTGTTTTTCTTATATTTTAGATTTTGTTTGTCTGCTAATTGGTTTGGATGATAACAATGTTGAATATCAGGTTTTGTATTTCAAGGACTTCTCACCTTGCACAAACTCCCAATCATCTTTGAAGGCATTAAAAAGGATTGACTGGAAAAGATATGGTTTGAATTTAGGGGGCATAGTAGAGCAAGATGGAGTTACATTACTAGAATGGGAAAACTTGCCTCCAGATACTCATATTGATATTGTGCTCCACTCATATCATAAACAATATCCAGCATTGAACAGATCCTTTTTCCCTTATCCGAGTTAATTTTCTTTTCAGAAACAATTTTTTTATGCTTTGCAGTGAGAAGTTTCTTTAGATTTTTTGAATTATATTTATTCATTCAATAAGTGACAATCCAGAAGTTTTACTTGGAAATATTGCTGGATCTGGTGTATCATAAGCGATTTGCCATTTCTATTGATAGATAGCCAACTTTACTTCATAGAACCAGTGTACAATGGTACAAGTGTACCGTTGAATGTTGAAATTACACTTTGTGTTCTTCGCAGGCTTACATTTTTTGCTATTTAAGTATTACATTTGCATTGTGTATGGTAATGTATATCTATTAAAGTTTCATTATTTGTTTGTAAATTATACTTCCTTGACATATTAGTAAGGCCATGATACCAGTGCCAAGGAAAATGTCTCGACGTGATAGAAACCTTGTTAAGAGAGTAATTAAATTGTCCCTGGATGACTTGAAGTCGAAGCATTCAGGGGTTTTGTTAAGTTCACGAGCCCTTCAGGTAAATTCTCTCTCCCTCGCCCACGCACATGCGTGTGTGCATGATGTGTGTGGACCCTCAAGTGTTTTCTTAATATGATATTTGTAGACAATAGAACCATTCGTTCCTTAGTACAAAGCATCCAACCAGCTATAACCTGAAATGTGTTAACTCTTGATTCAACATCTTGTTTTCCCATTCATTGAGCTGAATGTTTGTCTTGAAGTTGGTGTTATATTTAACCATCCAAGTATAGTCAGGATCATTGCATGCTTAGCAGTTAACAATCTTTCTTATCTCAGCCTGATTATGCATGAAGGACAGATCAAAGTTGCATTGCCCATATAATTTTTCATTTTTTACGAATTTCTGTGTGCTGGTGACTTTCTTTCTCTCTTTTCTACCAGGGATATTAAGGATTTAGAGTCAGCTGTGAAAACTTCCAAAATTAATTTGCCAATCTCGCATCCATTCTTTTAAATGAAAATTAAAATGAAGAAAACAAACATCTTGGTTTGGTGCAAGGTTTTCAATGAGAACCACTCGCAGTATGTTATGATATACTGAATATCTGACTATGTCCTCCGTTAAAGTTTTAACTATTACAGCTGTGCTGAACCGGTCTGATCCATCTTCATTTAGTAACTAGGTTGCAGGATTGTTTTGCAATTTTCTGGATTATCCTTTTGGCCTTATATTTAATTTATTAAGCAACTTTGCGGCCTAATATTTTGAAAACTTGGTCTCCTACTTTCAGATTCGCAGATATGCGCCTGATCTCGCAAAAACAATTGCGGGGCTGATCTTGTCTTCCAGTGACTTGGATTTCCAGGGAGAATGCTTTTCTCTTCTTGGATTAGAGTCCCGAGAAGTTGGAACTGAAGTTGTACAAAACTGTATAGAAGAAAGAATTGTTTCAGTTATAGAGATGAACGACAAGAAACCCCACAGTTCTCAAGAAGTCGCACCTTTCCTTTTCGAAGAAGATCCTGTCCAAGAAATAGAGTTTCAAGAAAATGATTTCAGCCCCTTGGACTTATAACTGTTTTCCTGCGTCCGTAGTCCATCTTTGAAATTCCCATCACTTAGCAAATGCTGCCAATTGCTTTGATAGATCATTATTTAGAATATGGTCATTTTACAACTGTTTGGACGCTGTTAATATCTATGGTGGAGGTGAATCTTGCCATGCCGTTATTCTGATTCTGAGCTGCTCCATTCCCTTCTCTTTTGCCTTTGTTTGTCAGTTTTCAAATCATTCAGCTGCGGTACCGGCCCTAGAGGCGGCCAGGGAAACGACAATAATAATTATAAATATGAATTTAGCAGCAACGAATTGATAATGCAATTTTTTTAAAAAATTATTTTTACATAATTTTTTATTTAGTTAATAATATAATTTATTTTTACACAATGTATTAATATTAAACTTCATAAATATATCACGAATATCATTTTTAAAAACGTGTATTTTACGGTGTGTAGAAGCATCCACATTCATTGTCCGATTATGTCTTAAATAAAGTTATCTATTATCTATTTTTCTGTGCAAATATAATTTATTTAAATTGTTACAAGTTTATTTAATGCACCTATATAATTTTAAAAAAAAATGTATAAAACTAAGTTTAAATCAGTCTAGTTATGAAATCAGGAGGATAGGCATAGTTTTCATTAAAAAAAATTGTTAAACTTATACCTTAATAATTGAATAATGACTTTTGCTAGGAAAAATGTACAATAATTTGAAATAGACAGAAAGAATGATCAATTTTTAAATTTACGAAAAATATCTTAATCATTATGTTCAGATTCAATAGCCATTACAACCCATAAGTAACAAGCACTTTGCTATCCTTCAAGCAAAAATAACAGATAACAAGTTACTAGGGTGCGCACTCGAAAACCCTATCTTGGTACACACAACCACGAGAAGATTTCAAGTTGATGAAGGCATGACATCCATAAAGCAGGCAAAGCTGAGATGTCAAGAAAATAACAAGTACCGAAATAATTCCCGCACACAATAAGAAATTCCTAAGTAAATATTTCTCAATACGGAGGAGGTTCCAAGAAATAGAAATGCAACAGAAGTATCTAACATTATAATATATTATTTATTTGATGTTCTTAGTACATATGATATGAATATTTGTAACAATGTGTCGTTTCATAGCACTGAAAGCCTCAACTCTTGAAGAATTAAGACGAACTGTAGCTAAATTACTTTTTATTCACTTAAACCACCGTTATACCATTATATCTCCCAATTTAAGTAAGGCCTGTAGTGTCTATTACAAAAGCCACAGTATAAAATGAAAAAGATAAAACAAAGGAAAAAGGGAGAAAAAGAGAGCACTGATGGGATTAATATGCCAACTTTAAGTACCTTATCAATATTTAGTTTTGAGTCAATTAGGATTCTTTTTTTTTTCTTCTGAATTAGGATTCTTTATCAAGCAGCAGAGGGAGCAGGAATGAAGGAAATTCTGGGCTCAGGAATAGAAGCCATGATTGATGACTTTGATAATGTCTCTTCTTCTGCCATAAAAGGAATCTCAGCATTAAAATCAAGGGATTCGTCGTTGTAAATGTCGCACCACTTTGCTACTAACATCTTTATGTCTTCTCTTTGCATATTTTCTTCCTTGCCAGTCTACCTCCACGGTTTTGAACCCTATTTATTTACCCAAAAAAAATATATCGAATTACATTTACATGTAAGTGTGTTGAATATTTGTAGTCTTGTATAACCCATTACACACGTTACATTCTTTATCAATTTTAAGAACTATTTTATTTAGTCACAACGCAAATACGATTCTAACAATTTCGCAAAAAATAAAAAATAAAAAATTTCATTGTATTTTGTACGTGGTTAGTTTTACTCTGACATGCTGATTTAGGAAATTTAGTAAAAAAAGGTCAATAAAAATTATATTTTGTTTTCATGAAAAGAATATATATACCCAGTACAAAACATCGAATATTAGTAAATATGATATATATCAAAATTTATAAAATATTGAGGGAGAAGATTAGTCACTTACAATTGCACAATAGTGGACCACCTTAACCTTTTCAAGCTCTACATTCTCTGGGTGGCGCCATAACATGGCTAAAACCAGGTTGTAAATCAAAGGTATAGGCTTGTACGTATTTTGGAAGAACATGTTCAAGAAATCCTATCATGCCACATAAAAAACATTGCAGTTAGAATTCTGCCCAAGTTTAGTTAACAGAAGAGAAAAAATTCACAAATAGGACAATAATATGAAGGTATTTCTCACTTAATTCTTAGTCACTTTATTAAAAAATTATAATTTATTAATTTCTTATTATTTATCATTGAATACACATTAAAAATATTATTTGGTGCTTATAGAGTTATTTATTTTTTGAACATATCACAAATTAATAATTAAATAGCAAATAATCTTGGTGATCTTGAATTAAGGATGAATTAATCATACGTACTAGCTCTGCAAAAGGTGTGGGGGGAGTGACTCTCAGTGTGAAGAAGATTCTGGTAGGTAAGAGTGCTTGGCTCAAGGACGAACATGCCAGCATTGAAGTACAAAGGAGGAGGAGAACCCATTTCAACAGGCCAAGTAACCTTATCAGGGCACTGTTGGCAATATCCTATCTTGTATTGTGGAGAGTGGCTCCATGTTTTCTCACAGAAACAATCCATCACCGCATACATGTACCCATTTGGTGCATCAAACAAATGGTCTATGTTGTCAAACACTTGAATATCCGCATCCAAATATATCATCTTGCTGTACTCTTCAAACTGCAAATTCAAAATATATATATATATATCTTCATCAAATTTAATTATATTAATCATTATATCACTAATTTATTTTACAACTTTGGTAAGAATATGGTAGGCTATATATGGATAATGATTGGGTAGCTAGCTTGTCAAATCGAAAAGTTCATCAATTAGTTCAACTAATAAAATCTCTTTTAAAAGAAGGAAAAAAGAGAGAAACTCAGTGACAATGGAATCATGAAGTACAAAAGTACCAATACAATATCACCACTCTCGCATTGGAGGGGACATTAATCAATGATCCAGGCATTTAGACTAGTACAACAGTGAAATAGATGAAAACTGGTAAAATTTTGATCTTAACCGTCTACTGAGTAATCATAAGTTAGCTAGGAGCCATGCAATTACCAAAAAAGAAAAATATTTCGCCTGTGTAAGTGGAGCCACGTAGCTTGAATCTCAACCATTAGTTATATGATGTGTATACGGAAACCTAAGAATCTCTTATAAGATAAAAATAAAAGTTCATTTCACGATTACTTTAATTTATACTAATTATATCTGGGGTTTGAATAAGTCAGTTCCTAGATCACCATTAGTCTTTTATTGATGTTGTTAAATATGATAATGCCATATTTTAAAATATATTTGACAATTATAAATTGGGAATCGATTTTGTAAATCTTTATATTTATAAATCACGATATTTTGTTTACGCTACTTCCTATTTCTCTCTCTACTTTTCATCACACGTCGCTTCTTAGTTTTGGAATGTATCATTTAGATGAGTGTAAATAATAATACCTAATTTCAGAAGAGTGTAAAATATTGTTATCCTCTATTTTTAACTTGTGACATTTTTTAAGAAACGTAAGAAGTCGGTATTTTATACTCTTTTGAAGTTTAGACTCTATTTACACCCACATAAACGAGTAAACGGATACAATAATAAACTCAAGATATAACATATATAGTAAGAAAGAAAGAAATAGATATAAGTGTGAACTAAAGTAAGTATATCAAGAGAGAGAGAATTACTGTTTTTAATTAGTGCAAAGGTAAGCATAAAGGAGTCCCGCATGAAAATATAAAAGAATGTAGAAACTTAGTGATGTCAAGGGATGGATCGATCAAGTACTCACATTCCATATACGTAGCTTGGAGTAGTTGATGACATAGTAAGCCATGGCAAACTGAATTTGGTTTGGAGGAGGATAGATAGGTTCAATATGGCGAACAATGCAACCTTGAGACGTTAAAATCTGAAGGTGTTCCTCAGGAACATCAGGCAAAACAGCAACCACTAAAGGGTATGGGCTCTTCACTTTTCGCAAGCCCTTTGCCAAGCCCACCACCCCTTTCACATAGTCACCATTCCCAGCCAAGAATGTCACATAGGCCCTCTTCCAAGTTGTCACCCTGCTTCTTGTCAATATGTCTTCCACTTCTGTTGACATCTTTTGGAACAAAGTTTTATGCAAAGAAGTGATAGGAAAGTAAGTACCAATCAATTAGTCTCAGTAAACATGGTGTCCTTGCACCCCATTTTTATAGACCTCAAATGATGCTGTAAGATCAAAATGCATGTCAAATCCACCTTAAATGAAACTCAAATGCACTCCATTATGCCTGTCAATATTTCTTTTCGAAAGTATGAAAAATTTAGGCTTTTGTAATCAATATGGACGGCTGAGAATCTATGAATTGTGATCACGTCAATGTCCATTGAGAGAATGAAAGGATCTTTATACCAATAACCTATCAACAATATAGTAAATATATTAGTTCCAAGCGAGTAACTCACTCTTTGACATACATACTTTTAATTACAATTTTTTTCACATTAATACATAATTTTACAATTGACCCGTTTATTTTAAATTTTTGTAATCTTTAAAGGAAAATTGTTTTTATGTATTTAGAAGTTTATGAGAATATTAACTATTATATATCCTTTCAATTATACTGTTATCTTTGCTTAATTCTTACATATATATTTATTATAAGATATATTACTAACACCTTTTTTTGAAAAAATTAGTTGAAAGAAACTAGGCTAGAACACATGTTTTCTTAAATTGAGTTTGAATTTTAATATTTATTTTGTTATTTTGATTCTCATAAAATTTTAAAAAAGAATTACCATTATTTATAAATAGTGTGACATATATTTAGATAAGTTATGCCATATGTAGTTTTAAAAAAATAAAATCGTTAATGATGTGAGCTATATATACATGTCATATTATTATTAAACAGTAGCAAAATTATTTAAAAATTAAAATTAATAAAAATTTTGAATTCAAACTTAATTATATTTAACAAGAAAACCAAAATTCTATCCAAGTCAAGTAACTATTACTAAAAGAATGGCTGATATGGCAAAGCGCATTTTGCAACAGCAATACTATCGTCGTTGTCTTTGAATGCGATACAGACACATCTCAGAGGTTCTATATATGGAAGTCTTCAAGTTGTGTCTAATCCATTTTTGTCTTTCTCAATTTGAACAGTTTTGTTTTAACAGGATTAATTTGGCTGAAATTAAGGTTTCGTTTTCTTTCATCTAACTTCGCACGTTAATTTTTATAAGACATATCAAGTGCTAAAGTCAATGATTCTGAAGCCAAGTGAAAAAAAAAATATACTAAAAAAAGATAAAGAATGTTGCTTGTCTTTTGAGAACAATCTTGACCTCAAAGAATTACCGTTAGGTTTATACGTAGGATTTTCATTCATGAAAAACTACTTAGGGTAACCTCCTTAATTAACATATCTTCAAAAGGGTTTATCCACAGCATCACGTTTATTAATTTAAGCTTCTCTCACACTTTATCAAGCAAAGAAAGCTTCTAAAATAATGAAATGAAAAGTTATAACAAATCAATTTCGTATCGAATGTTCTGGATAAACTACTGATGTGATGTCATTTCTTTTATGGGTCAAAGAACTTTCTCGAAGAAATATTTAACCACCTTTTCATTTCGTTTTGATTTGGGTCTATGGATTCTAATTACGACACCGGTCACCAAAACTCTATTTTAATTTAGTCCCATAAAAATATGAGAAGTGATTATTTTAGAATTTAATTGTACTTTAAAACAAAGGTCTAGTAATATTCTTAAAGATGTTATTTCTAAAAATGTAATATTATTTATACCTTAAAACAAAAGTCTGGTAACACTACAAGAAATATGTTATTTAGTGACGGTTTATTAGTGGCAGTTAATAATAACCGCCAGTAAATTATTTTAAAAATAACATTTAACGTCGATTTTAGTAACTGCCGCAAAAAATACAAGATTTAACGGTAGTTTTGTGTAACTGTTACAAAAAATGTGAAATTTAGCGGCGGTTTTATAGAACCGCCACAAAAAAGGCGGTATTTAGCAGCGGTTTTGCAGAACCGCCACAAAAAAGGCGAAATTTAGCGTCAGTTCACGATAACAGTATATAAAACACCACTCCTCCCCCATTCTTCATCACCCACTCAAAGTTATCATTCATCTCCACCTTAGCCTCATGAGTTCCACCATTCTCTTTGCCATTGCCGCCACCGCTACCCCTGCCGCCACCGCCGCACTGCTGTCACTGCCAAAATATTTTCTCTAACTGTGACAACCTTAGTAATAAACTATCATTTTCACGTCCTCCAAAAATGGCTCTTCTCCAACGATTCTACACTATAAATTATATAATATGTATGTTGTGATATTAAAAAATAAATAGAATGTGAACCAAATAGCAAAAGAAAAAACTTAGTAGAAGATAAAACAAAAAAAAGTGTGGGAGCCAAAAATAAAGCACTGCTGGCCCAAAAATAAAGCACTGCCCTGCCAAAAATAGAACACTGCCGCGCACAGCCTAAAATTTGAATTTCAAATTTTAGCAGCGGTTTTGAACCGCCACTAAATAACTGTGACAAATTTAAAAATTTAGCGGCAGTTTAAAATCGCCACAAATTTAACTTTGCGTCGCCAATTTTAACGTCGGTTTCATAACCGCTGGAAAAATATTTAAAGGCGGTTAAAACCACCGCTAATCATAAAATTTAATTGCCACAAATAAGCAATTTTTTTGTAGTGTAACAGGTATAGGCTACCAAGAGGCTCATAGAAAATGCATAGTTCTACCACTATACGATAATTATAACATTAATTTCTCAGCCTCCATTTTTAACCACGATCATATTTAATATCAAAATATAGCAATTTTTATCGTACAATTCTCCGCAAGTGTTTGTAGCTCCGTGACACACCTTATTATATAGTGACTATTTGGGATAAGAAAATTTTCTAAGTTAAAAAATCATATTAAAGTAAGCCACATTTTGATGGAATTTTAAGAGTCAAGAAGGAGCCAAAAAATAAATCTAAGAAGTATTGAAAAGTTATCCAAGATCTTGTGTTATATCAAAAAGGATACATTTCGAGTTATTTTAGAGGTTTTTGTCACCTCGTTGATTTTTTCTTTGAACTGCTCGAAAAGCAGGACAGACAAACAAATATTCTAAATCCACAAAACTGAAGACTTTTTTCGAGAAATTTGGAAGAGTTTCCAAGTCCTTGGCACCCAAAATTGCTCGAAAAACAGGAAGTGGTCAGAGAATATTCTAAGTCCACAAACCTGGTTGAGCTTCAGATTCCCTCCAGAATTGCTCAAAAAATAGGAATGAGCAAAGAAAATATTTTAAGTTCACGAGATCAAGACAAGCTCTCAAAACTCCAAAATTAGTCGAAAAGAGAATGCAAGGAGAAATTATTCTAAGGCCATAACACTAGATGAGCCTCTTAAGATCCTCTCAAAACAACTCGAAAGATAGAAAAATTGACTTGAAAGGTCAAGTTTAAAAGCAGTTACTAGCAGTTACCAATACTGAGCAAAGGTTCAACTATGCAAAGAAAAGATCGTGGGTGATAGCGGTTACCAGCAGTTACCGACAGCACTATCACAAGTAATCGTGGATAATAGACATAACAGTTGAAGACAGTTACTAAGAAATGCCCACAAAAGGAGGAAAACGGTAGTGATCTTCCTGCCTATAAATACCCCAAAGTGTCATTTTACGGAGGACGACTTTTTGCACCCAGACACCGCACCTAAAACTCTCTGCACGCTGAAACCCTGCACCGCGCCAGACACCAACTACAAGGAGACTCACGGTGGCCGCTGTCTGCTGTTGTGAGGAGTTGTACGGTTACATTCACGCACCTTTATATTCTAGCACATTTACCTTTCTACATTTTAATTCCAGCTTGTTGCTTATTTCCTTTCTGTAATTTAGTTTTGTACTTAGCACTTTTCTACAAAGAACCTCTACTTTGTGATTCAGTTTACACTTGTTATATTTACTATTCTTGCTAAATTGTTTAATTTGCGACGTTTATTTTACTGTTACGTTAACAACACACTTAAAAGAATTTAAAGAGGACCTAATTCAGTCCCCAGATTGCTCTTGAATTATTTGTTTACAAAATTGTCATTTTTCACCTTAAACAATTACTTAGAATCTTTTAGGTTTAAGTTACTGTGGCATGTACCATACGGATATACTCTAGTATTCTAAGTGTGTCTCATCTATATCCCCAAGCACTAAATAAATTGCACAACGTCATTACATGTTGTTACTCTATTAAAGTTGAAAATTAACTAGCCTTTTACAAGTACACTCTACTAGTTCAAGTTCGTGTGTATCGATGGTAGTGATCGATACTTGATTCATTTTTTTTGGATCTATTAGACTGATACCAGATCACATGGTGAATGACTTGCAGGATCAATTAGCTGGAAAATTAATGTAGTGTGAGGTTTTAAATTTGCTTTAATATACTTTTAAATGATTCACAAAAATTGAAGAGTGTCTTAAACCCCCAATTGAATTTCCATGACATCTAAAAGACAATGACCTCCAAATAATACCTGGGTTATTCTTTGTGGGAAACCAACTTGAAGAATAACTTTTGTGAAAGTGGCCATTCCATTGCCAAAGATAAAAGCAAATGCTGGTTTTGATTCTACACAATTTTAGCCATGTGTAGCTCTAATGCAAGGAGTTGTTCGATCTCTTAGCATTTTTGTGGCCTCGAGCAGAATACATTCCATCTTTAGTTATTTTGTCTTAAGAAATATTCTCTCCTTCAGCTTTTGTATATAAGAAAAACAAAGTATATTTTATATAAAATTATCCAAAAAATATTATTAGCAAGGTTATAGAAAAAGTGGCATGTGTTTAATTGTCATTAAGTGATATAATTTGGAAATGAAAATCGGATTAAAGAGTACTTTTTTTTAGCAATCAGCCTCTGGAATGTGAATATAATTTTAATTATAATAATGTTAAATACTAATTAAACTATAAAATTGTCACAACCCTCTATAATTCATCATTTGAAGACTGGTTCATGAGATGAAGTTGTTATTCGATTATACGGATTTAGATTCAGTATAGTAACTACGTTATCCCGTTACGTTATTTTGTGTTTTCGCTTAAGTTAACACATTTTCACTTAAGTAAAAATACAAATTTTATCTAAACGTACAATGCAGTTTCTACGTAGACTGCACTGAATCCAGATTTTTGACCGTACCAAAAGCCACCTAAATTGAAAAAGTTGCCGCCTCTAATCTTTGGTATATTCAAAGTTTGTTGCAGGCATGATATAATGTAGTATATGCTTCTTAAGTCATGAAAATAATTGTATAACAAATATTATCTAAATAATTATATAATAATATATTTTATTTATATTATTTCAACTTGATAAATCATTATATAAAACTAATTAATGTTAAATTATGACTTTTTAACATATCTTAGGGAAGTATTAGACTTACAAGCTTATGAATTAGTTCTTTTGTAAGTCTGTTATATTAGATTTAAATTATCATAATTGTTATAAAGCACAAGATATATATTATGTAAATTTTTTCACATTACAGGTATTTTTTATAGAAAGCATTCATATTTATATGAGAACACTTAAAATATGGTAGAGTTAATTTTTCTAATAATTATTTTTCATTCACAAGATTGGAACTTGAGACCTTATTTAAGAAGAATAAAACACATACTATTTAAACTAACTTTCATTACTACATCATGATTTGTAATTAATTTATTATGATACATTTAAATTTAGTTCAATATTTTATTTATCATATTTTATAGTTAAAATACAAAATAACATTTTTATTTCACTGAAGTGCGAGTAATAAATCTGAATATATGTATTTAGTTAGGCATCCATTTGATACGAAGATAAGCACTAAAAGTACTACCTCTGTAGACACAAGTCCTTGGATGGATATTCTTGAAAGATGCAACCCATCCTAAGAAAAATGCAAACTATAATATCTTACCCAAACTCTATATATTGTTATCTCCGCTTATTTTTTACTTTGTATTAAAATTCAAAATTGTCGCAAGTTTGTTTGAGGCTTTTTAAGAAAAAATATATGTTGTAATTGAAAGAGAGATTTAAAAAATTATAATAATTATTTAATATTATTTTAAAAAATTAACTTTAAATTAAAATCACACTTCTTATTTTTTAACTTAAACAGCACAATATAAACAAGGAAAACTCAAGGTATTGGCTATTAAGACTTACGCATAAGATTCTATTTTTAGGAAGATCCCAAAAAAAAAATTAATTATACATATTTTAAAAAATTAAAATTTTAAATTTCAAAATATTTTCAGAATTTCAAAATATTCTTTTGATAGCAGAAGATTCTCCATAAACATACTCTAATGGTCATAGTATTGATCATCAAACTTTGAAATAACCGGTTGCACAAATCCACTCTTGATTGCCATATTTTCTTAACATTCTATTTAGAATCAGTCCCCTTAACACAGCTTTGATACTAATTGTTGAGTATTCAAGGTATTCGAATACTTTTGCTACTGCATTATTTAATAAACTGATATGGCTATATATAACCTTACAAGAAGTAACAAAAAGGAAAACTTTAATTCACGTTCTACAAACATGATGTGAAATAAATTAAGAAACATCTATCTAAATCCTAAAAAATAGAAATTATTTAAATCAATACTAACTAACAAACAAAGACTAATTTAAAACTAATTCTATTTCTATCTTAACAGTTTATGCTCTCTAGTGGTGTGGGCTGCAGAGGGAGGCAAGGACGACAATGGCAAAGGAAGAATTGAAGGTGACGAATGGAAAGATCATCTAAACCGTTCATTTTTTAAAGATGAAAACAATTGAATGAACCAACGCAAAATATTAGGTGGTTCGCCATATACAAACCCCAATTTTCTACCAATTTGGGGACTCGAATTATAAATCTTCCCACAGCATTGAGACACTGGTCTAACCAAGCAGAATACACAGAAAGATCCGAATATAATTTGAAGGAGGAAACTCGTAGATCAAGTCCCTCAGCCCAAGCATATCTGATAGACTGGAGAAAGTTCAGGGAGTTACTAAAACCCCGTTGTGGAGATTTTGTTACAAAATACTTGCAACAAGATTGAATCTGAAAATTAGACTGAATTTTTAACCTGTTCAACAGAAGAATAAAATGTTTCGCACGTCCACCCTCTGGCCACTGCCATAACGTTAATCATTACTAACGACTGTGAAAACCAAAACTAAAAGTTCTAGCATACAGATTCAGAGATATCCTTCCAATATAAGCAGCTCTAACTAAGCCCATTCCCCATGCTATCGACGAGTCAAACATTATACCTACGCAACAGGGAGTTGAATACACATGCATGCGCGTCTTTGAAAGTATGAAGCCAACATAGTTTTTCCTTTGTGTGTATCTTACAAACAATAAACAAAATCCCCATTCGATATTTCATCATATGAAATACATATGATCAAAATAGAACTATAAATCAGAACCCGATGGCCCGTTGAATTAGTGTCTCCATTACAGTTATGAACATGGTATCCAAACCAATAGAAAGCTCTAGAGTATTACACATCCCAAGAAACAATTTCATACTACAAATTTAGCCACCGAGATGTCCTAAACCACGATACATCAACACAAATTCAAGTAGTTTCGGAAGAGGACCAAGAAATAAAAGCTAGATAATTTTCACCCCTGCATCCAGAATTACTCATCCGCAAGACTCCAAAAAGCATTAAGCCTGTGATGATACATAATCAGCAAAGTGTCACGCCAGTAATTCCAAAAAAAAAAAAAATACACCTTTTCTTTTTTTCATTTTTGAATGAACAACTAGGAACTAAAAGGGCCCAAACGAGTAATTTTATAATGCTGCTAAAGAAAACAAATAAATTGTAAGAAACAGAAAGGCACATCGCATTATGCACTTTTGCTACCACTTCTAATCAACTAAATTCACAATTTTCATTTACTATGCATTTTTTTACTGTAGAGAGAGGAAGAAACCAACAGGTTACCTTATTGGCTATGTTGTTGGAAAGCCAGTCCAAACCTTCATAAAGGCCCTCCCCAGAGGTAGCACAGGTGCTCTGGATGTACCTGGAATTACGAGAAGAGTGTGTTACATCACAACGGGACAGCAACTAATACAAGACAAGAAGGGCTTCATTATTTTGAGAAAAAATTACCAGTGGCGCTGTCTGAGAGAGTGGAGACCCAACTTGTCGGTAATCTCAGCAGCATTCATTGCGTTAGGAAGATCTTGTTTGTTGGCAAACACAAGCAACACTGCATCTCTCAGTTCATCCTGAAAAGATAATTAAAATAAACTACTTAAACATTGACATTTATCACAAGAATACACAAACAGAAAGCAAAAGAGCAAGGAAACTAAAGATTCTAGTCATGAATCCTGATTCTTGTAAACATTGAAGTTGAAACAGAAGCTGATTCGATTAGAAGGCACTTAATTTCACAGGAGATTGACTAGATAAGAACTGTTATTCAACTTCCAAAAGTTATGTATAGTCACATCAACACACGACTTATCAGAAATTATGGTCCAACAAAAACAGATCGACTAACAACACCAATGAAGAAAAGGAAAGCTCACGGACATGAATTCACTAGAAATTTCATCTTCAACAATAGAGAGACAACCATTGTGTATGTGAACATCAGGTGTTAGACTAATGAATTGCTGGAAAAGTCAGCCACAGTAGATAGAGGAAAGTCCAGCAAAAAAACATTTTCTGCTTTCAACAAACAGTTCATTCCTTCCTCAAAACCCAATAAGAAATCTTTGAATATTTCAAGATAACGAAAAGGATCTTATTTAGAGGTCATTATGATTGTTAGACCTTTCTATCTTGACAAATTTACAGGCCTTTCCTTTCAGCCCCTATGTGATCACAAACATTATCTATACGAATGAATTCCTTCTAACTGCCAAATTAGCATATAACAAAGACAAATATGAATCTGAAGAGATGGCACAAAAGGCCAAACTAAATTAACTAAGTACCTCATTCAACATCCTATGTAACTCATCTCTGGCCTCAACAACTCTGTCCCTGTCATTGCTATCCACGACAAAAATAAGACCCTGAGTGTTCTGGAAGTAGTGCCTCCACAAGGGACGAATCTGACAAAAAAAAAAAAAAAACTATTCAGCCACTGACTGCCAAGAAACTTTGGCGAGTAATGTTCAGCAAGCAAAGGCAAGTGATATATGCCCTAAACATCTAGCATATTGTAATTTTTCAGAACGCATAAGAATCGAAGTTTACACCTTGTCCTGGCCACCAACATCCCAAACGGTGAAGCTGATGTTCTTGTATTCCACAGTCTCAACATTGAACCCTGAAACACAATAAATAAATAAACAAATTTATCAATACATATATACAACAGAATCACAACATTTAACACGCCAAATAGTACAACAATAACCCCATCACAAAAAGCTAGTGAAAATCATTATTATAGTTGTTGAATAACATTTACGCATTCGTTAGAACAGCTTAAATCCAGTATCACAGAATAGCCAACCGTTGAAGAATATCTACGCAAGTGAGAAAAAGAAAAGGCATAGTCCAGAAACTTACCAATGGTAGGAATTGTGGTAACGATCTCTCCAAGCTTGAGCTTGTAGAGGATAGTGGTCTTACCAGCAGCATCAAGACCAACCATCAGAATTCGCATTTCCTTCTTCGCAAATAGCCTACTGAAAAGCTTCGTAAACGTTAGCCCCATTTCTCCTTCAACCTGTGGATCCCCCTAATTTCATGGTTCACAAGAACAAATAAATAATCAATAAACGAAAAACAAATCTCCACAACGTGACCGGTTTCAGCCAGATCTCAACCTAAACGAGAAAAAACCTCAACATGCAAATCGAAACGCATCATACTGAATAATAATGATAACTAATAATAATAATAAGGAAAATCAGAAGGATCTGGAGCGATTGATGAGGGAAGCTTCAGATCAAACGGTGGAGAGAGAGGAAAAGCGAACCAAGAGGTGAAAGCATACAGAAAAAAAGTGATTACATAAAAAAAAAAAAAGTGAAAATATTAAATCGATTTGCATGAAGTGATTGGGGAAACAGAGAGAAGAGGATCTGAGGTTTGAGTTTACCTTTGGAGATGAAAAGTTGGAGAACCAGAAAGCGCAGAGGGAGAAAGAGAGAGATGAAGGATGCTTTGCAACAACGCGAAATGGAGGGTTTGTTGTGTCAACGAGAAGGGATTTTATAAGGGTAAAAAAGGTATGGGTTTACTTCCTTCCTATTATTTACTTAAAATAAAATAACGAAAAGCACACCGTTCATGGATTCTTTCGAAGCTTCCGAACCCAAACATATTATATATCACTGTTTTTCATTTAAATATGTAATAAAGTATTTACGGATGTATTTTTTTATATAAAATAGATTAGTATGCTATTTTAGTATAATTTTTCCAAAAGCGTAATACGAGGTGCATATTTTTTCAAATTTTAATTAATGCCGTACATGTTAATTCTTGTATATGTGCCAAGGGAGCAATTACTTTCAGAAACGCTTTTTAATAATGATGAATTATTTGAGTCAACATATACAATTTTTATATATTTAAATTTAATTTAATTTAAACTCATTTATGTATATATATATATATATAATATAATATTTGTAAGTCAGATTATTCAAATTTTAAGTGTAGATTAATTAAATATGAATGATAAAAATTTATTATTTAAATAAAATTAATAATATGTATTCATTATTTTCATTTTTATAATAACTAAGTATACTTATCCATTTCCAGTATTACTGACCCAATTGTTGACCCATCTACAAATGTAATCTTTACATTTACATTTGGGTGAAGGGATTTTGAGAAAGAAAAATATTAAGAGGAGCAATTTTATGTAATAAGAATAATTTTTTTAGATTTTTTTTTTTTTTGGGTAGAAAGTTAAAAAATGCGAGACTTGAAAGAAAACGCTTTTCCCTATAAAATGAACAATAAAAGATGGTTTTCTTTTTTTAAATATAAAAATTACAAAAAAAGTTGAAAAGTATTAAAATTGCTATACTAATGTAATTTTTTATTTTGTTTGACTCATCTAAATGAATTAAAAAAATCTAATTTTATTCTTTGATATTTCTACTCGTCCAAACAAATCATGAATAGTTTTATGTTTACATTTATCCCATTTGCAAAATATAAATAAAATGATAAATTTGATATTAAGTTAAATTGGCTCTAACCGTAATTAAGGTAAAATATTAGTAACTAAAAAAGCCTTTGAAAATAATAATATCAACACTTTATCATGCAGCTCTAATTTTGTATTTTCTCAAAAAAGTAATGTTATTAGAATTTTAAATGCAGATTTTAAATACGACCTAATCCAACATTGAAAAAAAAGAAAATGAGCTATAAACTTGATTAAATTATTTGTTTAAAATGTCTAAAATAATTAAAGGTCATAATTTTTTTAATTGATTATTAATCTATTTAAGTGAGATTTTATTAGCGTAACAGATGTAGCCATCTATCCATGCTTTCGGCGAATAGCCAATTTTGCAAGTATGAACTGAGTGTAGATAAATATGGCCTTATCCCCGTTTCTTTAGAATATATATTCTTAAACTACATAGAATTCAAGTTTATGATATATCAAAGAATGCACATTTACTAAAACAGAATCGCCATTTTCAAGAGAAGACAAATTCGCATGCATTCTACAGTAGGTTCAGAAGCCTCCAGACAAAACATCAGAAGTTGCAAAATTAGTCTTCAATAGGTAGGATTATTCTATTTAATGGAAACAACCATAAAGAACAGAAAATGCTGCAAAATCGCCAAAGGGAGTGAAAAATGCAAGTAGTGTATTCTGATGCTCCAATCACCTACTAACAATCGTAAGTCGGTATCTCATTTTTAAGAGCCTGCTTTTGAGTGATTATTATGATTTCATTTCAAAGCTTAAAGTCATCCTCACACGTTTGCCAATAATAAAAGGAATACATCAAAACTTGCAGATGTGTACTGAAATCTATCTCAGCAATACAAATTGGGTTTTACCTGTTTTTCCACATTCCTCTAATGCATTCTTTTTATACGTTTTGCATATATATCATTGCTTATTTTGCTTAATTTTTTTTTATCTAATTATGTATTTTCAAACAGGCCTTTAATTGATTCTCATTCTCAGCGAGATTTTCATGTCTTGAACAAAGATTGGATTATCAACATGAGGCATATTCTAAGCCAAAGTTTTCTTTTTGGCTAATCATTTGTAACCTTGCTCAAGTCTCAAGATTTAGTTACGTTTGGATATATACTTTATTTAAACGTTTATTTAATAAATTTTTAAAATAATGATTTATGTGTTAAATTTAATAAAAACAATCATTAAGATAAATTAAATATAATTTACTACAGTTATAAACTATTTTTGTAAATTATTCATAAACTCTTCTAAATAAATATTTAAATTTAATTGAACCTTCTGAAAATTAGTGTAACTGTATTAATTGTTTAAGAATTTTTATTACTAGCTACATTAATTCTTAAACATTTTATAATTTAACTTTTCTAATGTGTTGTTAAAAGACACGTGTTAAAAAATATTTATATATTTTACTAAATCTTTTAAATCACTATAAAATTAAAAATATTAAATATTTTTAATAAAAAATTATATTTTTAACTTGGGGCATTCAATAGTGTTACCATATGTAGTCACCCTTATTAATTTTTTTTAATATATGTTAAGAAGTTAAAAATATTTTTTAAATATAATATTTATTATCAAAATTATAAAAAAATATTTACTACATATTAATAATATTTTAATTTTGAATCAAATGTATTTAATATTACTTAGCATTAACACTTGGTACATGTTAAAATAATCGTTAACTAATATGTTTTCTTTTTATTATTTTTAATAATTTTTTATACGATTTAATAAAGTAAATATTAAATATTTTTTAAAATTTTAACATTTTATTAAAAATAAAATATGAGTATAAGGATACTCTAATCTATTATGTTTTTAAAGAAAATTAATAATACATCTAATTTAAGAAAATACTAAATAATATATGTTTATTATCTTGGAAAATATAAAAATATTTAATATTTTCTTTTTTTAGAAATAAAGAAAATTTATAGAAATAAAATATTTAAATTTAAAATTATTCTTTATGTTTCTTTTTCAGACAATATATTATCAATCTCTTAATATATATATATATATATATAATAATGTTACATTATTTTACTATATCTTTTCATTAACATTCTTATTTCAGTATTACATAAAAGTATGAATAAATTTATTACTTAAAAACATAAATATATTTAATTTTTAATATCTAGGCAGATGTTATAAGAAAATTAAAAATTATTTATTAAACTTAATTTATATTAATGTATTTACATTGTAGTTCTTTACGCCAAAAAAAAATTACATAATATTTATACTTTCCTTCCGATTCATTTTATTTATTTATTTATTTATTTTTTATTACATTATTTATCATAGTTGTTTTTTTCATTCTCTTTCTACTCCATGAGCCCCAAAAATAAGGTAGACAGTGAATTTTATCCTTCATGTTATGATTGTGTGTGGTTATTTTAGTTTGCGTCAAAACATTTATTACTTTAAAAAAAAATCAATATTAATTATGTTATAAGAATATTCACACTTATTGTTATCCACCTATATATTTGAATAATTTTATAATTATATTTTAACTCTTTTAATAAAAAATTAATTTTATCACAATAACTGATATAATTATTAATTTTCTTAAGAACTATAAATCACTTTTTTTTTTCTATTGAAGGTGGGCTTAAAAGCCCAAAACAACTATAAATCACTTTGGCATGATCATATAAACCTAATATTTGTTGAGGTTCCACTTATTAATAAATACATGTATTTAAAAAAAAAAATTATGCCAGAATTTTGACATTATCTTTTATGCTACACATGCAATCATAAAAAAAAATCCATACTTTTAATTAAACTATGTAATTATGTAATTATGCTACACCCCAATTGACATTTCTTTTCCCTATATTATTACGTTTAATTACATACGCAAGCTCCTTGCGTAAAGCAAAAAAGCTATGCAAAGATATTTTCACATTTTATGAAAAGAGTATAATATGAACATGAGACAGATAGAAAGAAAAAAGGAAATATGATATATAATATTACAGAAAGAAAAAAAAATATAAATAAAATATAAGAAAAATAAATATGAAACAAATTAAAATCAATTTAATTTTTTTGCAATGTATGTATTTAACACCATTGAAGAATCATTAGAAGACGTCAAATCGCTTTTTCTTCTCTCGTCCACGATCTTTCAAGGTTTGGTCATTGTTCTATACTTCCGTTTATTTTTCTGTTGTTCTGCCTCCTAAGAAAATTGAGCATTGTACAATGGGTTGTTATAGGTAAAATGGTTAGAACTGTTCGGCAGCTTATTTGACACAAAACTGTGTTCTACATTGTTCAACAATCGTAGTATTTATCTGATTTCGATTAAGAATTTCATTGAAATTTGCTCTTGATCCTGTTTTTTCGCAAAATTTGCCAGATTTGGTTACGTTGTTTTATATTGGTGCATCAATTCTGTAGGATGCATTACACAACTCTTTTAAGGTTTAGTTCACTTCTGACATCGTCTGTATATAAAGGTCAGAATATCCTTAAATAAAAATTTATTAACTTAAAAAAAAAACTCCCCACGTTGAAAATTTCAATTCTCCATGTACCCAAACAATCCCTAAAATCATTTTACTTCATCACTTTTATACACATTACCCTAATGTTTTTAAATCAAGTTTAATATAAAAAATGAAAATCGCTCGCAAATTTGTATTTAACTGTTTTATTGGCGCGGTTCATTTGGGGAGTGACTCTTCGTTTCTCCCTCCCTCCCTCCCTCTCTCTCTCTCTCTCTCTCTCTCTCTCTCCTTGAAACTAAAAATGCAGCATACGAACTGCTTTCTTTCTTTTTTTTTTTTTTTTTTTTTTTTGCAGTTTAAAGCAACAAACTGAAAACATGTTTCAGATTTGACATTGTCATTTTCATGTTTCCACAACAACGTGGTTAGCATTTACCGACCAATGGAATAGAGTAATTTCCGTAACCTTATAGTTTCGTCTGCTTCAACGCGTTACCACAAATAGTTAAAAGGCTAGAAAGGGCGGAAAATTAATTATTCTTCAACATTTTGTAGCTTAATTATTCATTTATATATTCTCTCTCTGTTACCGTGATTAGTTGTGTTATCAACTGATACACATTTGTTGTTCCTATTGCAGTGTCCAAAACGAGGATTCTTAGTTCTTACTTAGCTGCTAAGTCATGGTGTGTTCATTTTCTCTATCTAAGTTAACTATTATTTTAGCTAGAGCTGTGGAATACGGATACTTGAATGATTGGTTACGAAACATCCAATGATGATTATTTTTTTTCTCTGCCATTGATGTTTTGAACGCTTACTGATTAGATTTATTAATTATAAGTGAATTTAGTTGTTAGAATATTAATTGTTTTTCTCCGTGTTTTTAATTAATTATTTATTTATTTTCTTATCGAGTTTCTTTGTTGAAAAATTATGTAGGGTTCTGATTCTGAAGGTGCTAGCTCTCAGATTGACTATGATTGGAACACCGATGATGAGCTTGAGGTGTTTGGCGTTCCATCTTCGGCTCCAACGTATTCTAGTCAAGAGAGTTGTGAACATAGTGTGGCGGTAAATTCTGCATCTAATTACTTCACAATGATTTTGTTAAAATTTCAGCATTGTCTAGTTATTAACATATAATGGTATGAAAGGACTAAAGGAATCTTGTGGTCCTCTTTCACTCATATATTCATCTATTATCTTTTGTTTTTCTGGTCTGATCAATCTCATGTCTGTTGATTTTGTCACACTGAGAAAGTTTGGTTTGTGTTCCTTTTATAATGTTGAAGTGTTCTGTATAGGAGAGTAGTGCAACTTGCTCGGATGAAAAGAATGCTAAGCTGATTAATCTCTTTGTGGGAATGGGATTTTCGAGAGTCTCAGTGATCAAAGCAATTAATGAAAATGGTTGTTTCTCATTTAATATATTCAATAATTATTACTACTACTGGTACTTACCTTGAATGATGAAATTTTGTTTTGTTTTTGTCCATGTAGGAGAAGAGAACGAGGAAGACATTTTGGAAACTCTGCTAACACTTACTGCTGTGAGTAACTATACTACATATACTAACTATGGTTGAAAATCAACAACTCTGATTAGATGGGTTTTGGCAATTACTTATATAAATGATATAACTTTATTTCACTGTGTCTATATGACCTCGTGAAATTTATCACTATCCTTAAATTCTGAATATTCCAGTCAACAGTATCACCCGCTTGTCAAATGAGGCTCCTGATTTAGTCAAGAAAAATCAACATCATATTATCATGCACTGACTATATGTCACAGATTAAAATTTGATTAAATTTTTCTTTGTGAATAACTATACAAGAATATGATATGAGTGAACTGTCCAGCATGTGAGGTCACTATCTTCCGTATGTAAGAGTATAAATTTGTTTAATGACGTCCTTGAGCTTGCAGATTCAACGAGATCCTGCGTCAGATGCTTCCAGTATGCCATGTACTTCTGCTAAGAAAAGTGATATACCAATCGACATCTCTGAGGAGGATAGCTGTCCTGGAACTGGGGTAGATTTCTACCCTTATTATTTTCTTATCACTTTCCCACTATTATGATACGCTTTAGAACTTCACATTCATCACTGAAGTGGCAATTCTTTATCATTTGTAATATTCTTATTTTGCTCAACTCTGTTCAAACTTTATCCCTAAAATTTGTACACTCGTATTCAGTAAGCAATTTATCATATCATATAATTATAATTGCACAACACTCAGTGGTCAGATTATTTTTAATTTTTAGCATTCATGTTCGTTATCTGGATTATAAGAATCGTATAGTTAAGAATTCTTTTGAGTTCTGAGCTTAATAAGCCACATGAAATAGCTATTACAAGAAAATAAAACCAGAATTAATTAAAACCCTTTTGAGGAGCAAACCTCAGTAGAATAGAAAAGAACTAAAAAATTGTTGTAAAGACCAACCATGTCATTGGATTTCCAGCTTAATCACTATTGCCAGATGAGGGGTCCAAAAATAATGTAAGGTACTACATCACTTGTATATAATCTTTAATTTCTTATACAAAGATTGATAAATCAATTTTCGTATATCTAATAGTAAGTCCGCATATCATTTCTCAAAGTTAATTGTTAAAATATATCTATATTATGGAAGTACAAAAATTTGCATTTAGTGGATATATATTATACTGTGGTTGATTAGACCCTAGTTTAGGAGAGAGCATGTGAATAAGTCTTTCTAAAAGAATAAATAAATAAAATTTTTCTTATAAGTTAAAAATAATAAATTTTATTTTTAAGTTTTAGAGAAATTAAATAAAAATATTTTTTTAAAAATAAAAAGTATAAGTTATTTTAATTTATGAAAAAAATTTGATTCATATTATTGCTTATTTTTTTATTTTTATAAGTGTTTATGAAAATATTTATCTAAACTGAGTCTAAATATATATTTATAATGGTGATCTCTTTCGTAACTACATGAGTTAAAAGTCTTGTTCTTTATAGATTTTAGAACCTTTTTAAAATAATTTATGAACAACTTATTAAAAATAACTTATAACTCAATCATTTTTTTGAATTTATGTTCAATTTAAATAAAATTTTCAATTAATACTTGTGAGAGTGAAAAATTAATTAATAAAATAAATCAAATTTCTTTCATAAATTAAAATTTACTTATGTTTCTTTTTTTTTTAATTTCTCTCAATTAATTTCTCTAAAATATGAGATAAATTATTTTTAACTTATTAAAAAATTATTCATTTTTTATATTACTTTCTCTGTTTTATAAAAACCTATTCACATGCTTATCTAAAAATATATTTTTTAATATTGCTTATCAAAATAAATCATTTTCAACTTATATAAGTAAGTTTCGTCATTAAATTTAAAACAAATTATTTTTAAAATTATTAAATAAATAGTTATCCATTTAAATAAGTTCCATTTAACTAATTCCTTTTATGCATCAGGAAAATCCCTTAGGGTTAGAGAAGGATGAAACCTTGTCGATACTTGTGGATATGGGTTACCCTTTGGAGGAGGCTTTGTCAGCTATGGACAAATGTGGTGCGTTTACTGTATAATTGTTACTCTTTCATCATATATGTTGTGGCATTTTTTATTTTAAGTTTTTTTTTTTTAATTTCTTCTTTCATTTTCTATCACAAGATGAACTAAACTAACAATTTTTTTTTGTTTTTATAATATTGAATTTAAACTTTTAAATTTAATAAAAAAAGTCCAGAAAGATATAAAATAACTTTAAATAAAATAAAATTATTAAAAGAAATATTTTAATTTTTAACTAAATTTAATAATGTCGTGATCAATAATAGAAATTAATTATTGTTGTAATATTAAGCTTAGATTATTTTGTTTACATTGTCACACATGTTCTCATTAAAGTCATAATTTCAACGTAGAAATTTGTATGGGAAGATTTTGACTGAACGGAGGGGATAGGTGCATGTGGATTAAGCTGAGTTCTATTAAGTATGTAATTTGACCATATAGTGTACAAGGTCAACATATCAACTACAGTAGCTACAAATTTGCAATATTTATAATTGGCATTGTTAGGGGTTAGCACGACTTATAGATTTCGTGGGTACTAAGGTATTAATTGTGCTGATCCTCCCAAAATGTCATTATCACAGAATAGGAGAGATCAATTTATGAACATCCTATCGCCAGTCTTCACAACATTTGTGTGTTTCTTTGAATTCCATACAACAGAAATTCATAGTCATGAAACCCAATGAGCCTTACTTGCAATGCAAGGATATACCGAGTCTCCTATATTTTGTATGTAGCAAGTAAAAACTTGTTTGGTGGTGGTTTTTAACATTTTGGTTTCTCATTATAACATTTGGCAGGTCCTGAAGCCCAGATCAGTGAACTGGCGGATTTCATTAGTGCTGCTCAATTAGAAGAGGAGATTGACTCCCTTCAAGATCCACCTAATAATAAACATGATACATCTGTTTATATGCATAAAAAGGTGAGGCTTACAACCCTGTCAAATTAGTTATATGGCTTCTAGTTAACATGTCGATAAAGCAAACTTTTTTTCTTAAATTATATTACCTTCTTATGCTCTGCCAGCCAAATGATCAATATTATCTTCATAAGAGTAAGAAAGCGAAACTACACGATAAGAAATGGAAAAGCAAAATCTGTAGGCCAAGTGAGAAGATGCCAAAAGCAATTGATAAGGAGATGATACATGTCTCTAGTCCCATGACAGGATTTGGTGTACCTAATGAACTCTGTCCTGTGGTTGAAAGAAAGCTCCCAAGTGCAGCAGCAGGTCAACCATACTTCTACTTTGAAAACGTGGCTCTTGCTCCTGCTGGAGTTTGGAGCAAAATATCACGTTTTCTGTATGAGATTGAACCAGAATTTGTTGATTCCAAGTTCTTTTGTGCTGCAACAAGGAAAAGAGGATATATTCATAATCTTCCAATCCACAATCGCTCCCCTCTGCTTCCTATCCAACCACTCACTATCCAAGAGGCTTTACCTACAACTAAAATGTGTTGGCCTTCGTGGGATGAAAGAACAAAGCTCAATTGCCTTTTAACTAACGTAGCTCCTGGCACAGTTACAGATAGAATAAGAAAAGTCCTTGATAAGTATGGTGCTGAACCTCCTGCTATAGTCCAACGGAATGTACTTCAAGAGTGTAGAAGGTGGAACTTGGTTTGGGTTGGAAAAAACAATTTGGCACCTCTTGAACCTGATGAATATGAGATGATACTGGGATTTCCAAGGCATCACACGAGAGGTGGTGGAATCACCCGGACAGAGAGATACAGGGCACTGGGCAATGCATTTCAGGTTGTTATGCTATGAATGTTACACTCCATGTAATTTTTAAGTGATTGTGTTTATCATTAACAGATATTCAGTGATTATATGATAACTAAATGAAAATCATACTTTTTTCTGTCATATGACAACTCATAAATGATAACATTAAAAAGTTCTAATCAAAATTAAGCTGCTCTTTTTGTATTTTAACTCTCAGTTTCCTTGAAAAAAAAACTCATTGACTGCAATAAATGGAATTGATTTCAGGTTGATACAGTTGCCTACCATCTTTCAGTGTTGAAGGGTCGTTTTCCAAATGGGATAAATGTCCTTTCTCTCTTTTCTGGCATTGGAGGTGCTGAGGTTGCTCTCCATCGACTTGGAATAATGCTTAAAAATGTTGTATCTGTGGAAATAGCTGAGATGAACAGAAACATCATTCGCAGTTGGTGGGAGCGAACTAACCAAAGGGGAAATCTTATTGAGATAGAAGATGTACAACAAGTTTCTTCAAATCAGCTGATGCAGTGGATAACCAAATTTGGTGGATTTGACCTCATCATTGGTGGGAGCCCCTGCAACAACCTTTCTGGCAGTAACAGAGTTACTAGACATGGGCTAGAGGGTGAGCACTCCTCACTTTTTTATGAATATTTTAGGATTGTTGAGGCAGTAATGGATGTACAGAGAAATCCGCTTCTGTCAAACAAAAATGAACAGAGCGGATTTTGTTGATTCCCACGTTTTTTACGTAAACCAAAATTTAACGCACAAATGAAACTTAAGTGCATAATAGTAGGAGAATTCAATGGATTGTTAAATTGAAAAAACCATATGTAATTTTGAAGTTCTTTTTTCTTGGTAATTCTTGTTATGTTCTTTTGGTCTTACTTTGCATCCATGCGAATACCAATTTTTCTCTTTTTAGAGAGAGAAATAAAAATAAAATACCTAAAATAAGTGGTTATAATATAGTAAAATTTACAAAGATAAGACGGTTAACCATTTGGTGGAGAAATTGTTTACAGATAAATATCACAGCGCATTGGCAACCTATTCATAATTCTGTATTAAGACTCCTCAGTTATTTATAATAATATTTAAAATACCTTTTTATAGCATTTAATTAAAGAACAAAATATTGCAATTGTTTTAGAACTATCCACAGACTATGTTTGTATGGTTTTACCTGCAAGAAAGTTAACGAAGTAAGGGGTAGAGCAATAAAGTTATTGGTAATTCTGCCAATGATCGAATAAATTAGGTAACAAGATAACTAATCCAAAAAATTAATAAACAAAGTCAATCCTATTTCAGAAATATAATATAATAATTTGTACATAGGAAAACATAAAAATTCTTTGTCGTGACCAATTGGTTATATCAGGACATCATTATATTCCTTTATTTTTTCCTGTTAATAAAAATCATAGTTATATACACATCTCATCAAATAATCAGGTAAGTAGAGCTCAATGAGGAGTATAGAAATTATCATTGGAAAGGAGCATCATTAACACGAGAAACTTTGACAGAAATATGCTTGAAAGTAGTCGATTTTTATTAGTGACAGGTACTTAGAATATCTTAAATTTAGCAGACGAATCACACAAGGAAAACAGTGACTTATATTTCGTTTTTGTTTTAAATACTTAAGCTAAGACAGATACACTTCAACACTTCCAGTTTTTATCAATTGGCATACAGGACAAACATTGATCAATCCATCACAGTCCTTACACAAGCACAAGTGTCTACAAGGCATCAACAACATGGAAACCTCCTTTGCCTTGCATGCTCTGCAAGTCAGATTCTCCATACCTTGGCAGTTCTTGTAATTAGAGTTTATAGGCACACCCGGAATGCTCAGGAAGTTATTAGGATCTATATATGAGGCAGTATCATCAACTTCACTGTCTCCAAACCCTTCCTTCCCTTGTTCAACTCCTAGTGAAATCGCCTGCTGCAGATTGTTTTTTAATGCATTGACAACTGACTCATTATACTTTGCTCGGTAGTGCCAGCTTTGTGCTTCAATAGCCACTTGCTTTATTCTTTCCGCCAGCTCCCTATTTTTACGGTTCATGTTCTCTATTTCCACATCTTTTTCTTTTAGCTTCTTACTAATACCTTTCTCAATGGAAGTAAGGAGAGAAGCCATGTGCTTTTGCTTCATGTCTCTTACTCCCTTTGACAATTGTTCCTTCTGTGTAGAAAGAAATTGGAATAACATTTTAAAAAGTGCAAAATAATCGAACCAAGAATCACAAAAAATGACAATTCCGTGATTAAATTATAACTTCTAGTTCTTTTATCTTTGTGCAATAGGAAAACAATCATTTTAAAACTTTCCATTACAATACAAACTCCTGGCTCACTCAAAGAATCACATTTGTGATGGTATATTAAAAATCAAAAAATAATAATAATAGAAAATGAAAGGCCTACCAGCAAAAACCCAAAAATTCTACCCAAAATGACTGCAAATGATATATTTAAAAAGCAAGATATTAGAAGCAAGGTGATAAAGAAAAACCTAAAAAATGTTACCATAAAAGGAAATAATGTTAGTATTTTCCCCCTTTTCCTATCGGCTTAAGCCATGGGCTAGTCCTTTCATACTTTTCTAACAAACAGAAATATCTTGAACATAAAAATCATTTACACCCTAAAGACCTCCCACAACCAACATCACAAAATGAAGAAAAAACATAGAGCTGTATGGATATTACCTGAAGTTTAATATACTGATCCAACTCTTCTTGCTGCCTATCAAGCTCAGTTTTGATGTTGTCACCAAGAGACAATATGATAGATGGTGTGACAGTCATGCTGCCACTTGCAGAAGTAACAGATGAGTTACGCTCATCATCATCATATGAAAGCCTCAATCCTGTTGACACAGGGTTAGGGTTCGGAATACTTGCTAATCGATCAACATCATCTTGACAGACATTATAATTTAAGGAAATTTGAAGCCTCTGTTTTGAGATATCTTCCATTTCCCTGCTTCGTTTGTTAGGATGAATCATGGAGCTGATATGCTCATTTCCAAAGTAATTAACTGGATCAACACCGCATCCAGCTTGTACTGCAAGAGATATTGTATGTTCATCATTCAGTGATGAGGTAAAACTACAGATAAAAAACAAGAACTATTAAAGGAAATACAAATTAATTTAAAAGATTATTTAAGGAACTGCATAAAATGATTATGTGAAACAAATAAAAAATAATTTCTAATTTTGCAACATAAAATAAGAATATCTGAGCTAGAAACAGGACATATAAATAAGAAAAATGTTGGCAACACATCCTAGTTATTGACTAAAATTTATTGAAAACTAGAAAATTATAAAAGAAAAATATTAAATTAGAAGTGAGAAAGAGTGAAACCTACATGTTTTTTGTAGTTTTTAATAACTTTTAACTAATAACTAAGAGTGTGTTAGAAAGAGCATGTTACTAGCATTTCTCATATATTCAATTATCTATTTGTACATCACACATAGTACAATATACATGTAAAGGAAAGGGCCACTTGTTATAAGCATTAAAATGCCATGTCAAGGACCGTTACCATCTTGTGTTTCAAAAATAAAAATATATGAAATCATCAGCATTGATCATGTCCAGCAAAATTAGGTATCACATATTAGCGATGCACACATGCAACAAATGAGACAAGTTCACAACCCACCATACTGTACTTTTCTATTGCTATTCAAAAAAGGAAAGGAGATGCCATCATCATGCCTGTGGCAAAAGGGACTAAGAAAGGATAGAATTGTTGAAAGTACAAGATGCAAAAAGGCACTTGAATAAAAATCTAATAAAATCAAAGGCTTAAACATCAAGGAACATTTGAACCAGACAAATCAAATGCATAAGTTTGACAGCAAGTAACATTGAACACATTGAACCATACAAACATACTCAAATCAAAGGCAAAGGCTCAGGAAAAAACAGAGATACCCTGTTTAACAACCACATTCAAAGGATTCAATGAAAAAAATTATTATTAGATGAGAAAAAAGAAGGAGAAAACTCACAATTTCCAAACAACTGCAATTGATTTGACCCATTAGTTTGTGGCCGAAATTGAGTCTCATCCAGGAAAACAGGAAGAAAGCGATTCCCACTGTTGCTCCCCAACATTATCCCAGGAAATGTGATTGTCCAACTCAACTATGTAGCTTTAAAAGAATATTATTGAAGCTGCCAATTATAATCTACAGGGAGGGGGAAAGGGAAAAAACTCGGCATCAATTTTAAGTTATGAAAAGCTAACATCAACTATTACAGCACCAAAAACATGTCAGCACAATAATTTGAACTATATGGCTTGGAAGGGTAGGGCAGTTGATGCTCTGTAGAAGTACTTCATTAGTTTTTCTATAAAAATTCTTATTTCAGCTGATTTGAGAGGCAGGCTGCAACAATTCTTGGTAATAATTTTCTCGTCTCCTAGTTGTCAATTTAGTAATAGTAATAATAATAATAATAATAATAATCAATATACCAATGCACCTGCAAGTTCAAACAAAAAGATGAAAACAGACAAGTTCCTTCTCAGGGTTGAGTTGCAAATATTTTATAAACTGATATTTGGTAAAAACATAGGCTAACTATAAAGTTGTGCGGTATTTAGTTCAATATGGTAAAATCAAATATTTGAAGATAACAAAATGAATATTAATTTTCAGTGACATCTACACAAAACATTGTGATAAGTACACAGGAAATTTCAGGTAGAACATATGGGAGGAATCAGTTTATAAAATTAACTATATACTTATTACAAGAAAATGAGAAACAAAAGTTCAAAAGAAGTTATTTGCAAGTTCCGTAAACATCAAAAAATATTTTTTGTAGAAAGGAAAAAGAAAGGTTGTATTTGGCCCAGCTTTTTTTGGGCTGCTTCTCTTCTCCTTAAAAGGATTAGTTTGGCCAAACACAAATTAAAGAAGCTCTGGAAAATAAAAGTTGATTTTATTATGATGAAGAATATCCTTGACAAAGCTTCTACAAAAGCTAATTCGAAGAGCTTCTGCTTTTAAGGAGATGAGAAGTCAAAAAGAGTCAGGCAGAATAGTACCTAAATGAAGTTTTTTAGAAGCAAGGTCAAATGTTAACTATATATATCTTGACTTTCCAATATTTAGTATACATAAGAATGCTAACAATCCTTGCAAGCATATTCTGACTTTCAACCAAAATTTTAGAGTTAAAGATGATATATTGACCATAAATCACAAATAAAAGCAATTCATCCCTTGGTCTCTGGGGATCCAAAGACAAAATCCCTGAACTGGTGGCCTAGGGTAGTCATTCATTTACAAAACCAATATTTGTGCAAGTTTTCTGATATAAATGAGTAACATTAGATGTATAACCAATTTTAAAAAAGAAAAAAAAAATGATAAAAACTATACAATGATATGCTTAATCACCCAGAAAAATCAGTTGATATAGGCTTTTTTATCCACTTTTTTTTTTTCGGTAAGTATTACGGCATAGGAAATTAGAAATTAGCACACCTGATTCTATTCCAACACAAGGCCAGGCCAAGATTCTAATTGAAATGGAAGCTACACACGTCCCAAACAAATATGATGATTGTCAATTAAAATTTGAGGCAACAGAGAATTACCTAAACAAGATGTGTAATCAAAACTGAATATTTAGCCCACATGGGTGCAAAAATCAAGATGAAGATCTTAATTCTCAAATGATTTATAACCATGAAAACACTCAGTAACATTTTACTCAGATTAATAAAAAAAAATTAACGAAAAGGCAAATTAAATGTCACGATACACAACAGCACATCACAGCAGGTTAACTTGATATTGAGGACCTTTTTGATTGTTGGTCAGGAGGAAAATGAAAACAGCAAAGCAACCCAACTGTATACACGGAAAATCAGAGACTACAATCTAAAAAGTCCGAAGATTTGTAACATAAAACGATGGAAAAACAATTCAAACAAGAACCCAATAAATACCTTGAGATTAAACTGCTTTCTTACAGAGGAAAAAACAAAAAGATCAAACTGATACGCATCCAAAAGTAACCATTGAGCAAACCGGTCAAAAAAAGAAGGAATTGAGAGATCTGAAATGGAAGGTGAAGAAAGTGGATGGGTGGAAGATGGATATGAATAATGAGTTATGAATAGAATATGGGAAGAAGAAGGAGTGGATGCATAAGAAACGGAGAGACATTATTATTAATTTATTATTGTATTGAAATTTGACACCGTGACTGTACTAATTGTTCTAAGAACAAAACGACAGAATATGTTATTATTTTTTTTAAGAGAAAAAAAAAACTACAGAATGTATGAGTTATTTAGAATTAAAAATCTGAATTATCTAAAGGATGAAAATAATTTTCAAATAAAAATATCAAATTAGCTAATTTTTTAATAAAATTTATTATTTTAAATAATTAAATTTTAAAATCACTATATAATAAATTTTCAATAGTCAAAGTCATTTTAAAATATTATTTTTAATTTTACAAAGAACAAACTTATTATCATAAAAAAATTAGTAGTCATTTACTATTATTATTTCATATAATACTACCAAAATTTATATAATTTATTTTATAATATTTATTCACATTAATTTTATAATATTCAAAAGATAATTAATCTCATGTTATCTCTCAAAAGAAAAATGAGATTGATGATTTATTTGAAATTAATTTAAAATATTTATTTTTAAACTAAGTAAATGAAATATAAAATATAATATATATTTAATTTTTCATCATAAAAAACATAATACTTCTCTAACGCTCAAAGTTACTAAAAAAAATGAATAAATAAAAAATACTGTGTCTCAAGTTAAAGTAGCAATCTGAATTACAATCAACAAATAACATTTTTAAGTAAAATCAATTTTTTTTTTAGTAAAAACAATGACAATAGTTAATGTTATATTTAATTTTGTGAATTTTATTGAATAAAAAATATTTCAAATTATTGTCATTATTATTGTTATATTTAATAACAAAAATATATTATTAAAATTTATATCATTATTATTATATATAATGTTTTTTTTTTCTAATTTTTTGATGGGTTGAATATTACATAATTTACATTGAGGAGAAAGACCCACTTTTTTCCAATGCGCTATTCTCTGCATCATTGTCATGCATGACATAATAAACACAAGTTGTTCTTGCCTTGGTTATTCCGAAATTAAGAAGGGGTAGTTTTTATTTTACACTGAATTGGGGCTTTTAAAGTTATAAAATTGCTTTTATATTTTTAAATAAAAATATTATTTTAATTAAAATATGTGATTTTGAATAATTTATATGCATGTTTTAATTATATTTATTTATTTAAATTTATTTTGGTTAATCTTAAAAGTCATATTCTCCTGCAATTCTAACTGGATTTGCTTTACTTGAATTTGCTTTACTTGAGTTAAAGAAAAGAATATAGCAAAGTGATTAAAATATAGTTAGTTTGAGTTAATTCGGTTCATGTGATTTAAAATAATTGATCTGAATTAATCAAATAAAATTTATATTATTTTAGACTGAATGGTTGAATTATTACTTTTTATTAAAAAAAATACATGGATATAAAAATATGTTTAAAAAATATTAATACTAAATTTTAAAAATATTTTTCATCAAATATTTTTTTCATTAGCATTTGATTAATTTTTCCATTAAATGAAAAATTTATAAGTGTTTTAATTGGTAATTAAGTGAAACTTTTATTATTTTCAATTAATTAAAAATAAAAATAAAGGAAGTTTAGTAATAAAAATATAAAATAAAAAATCTTAAAATTTGAGGTATCAAAAAGTCAGTTAAGGCATCTTATTTTTAAGTGCTTAAAAAAAGTTATCCCTTTAGTATTTATATGTTCATATAAATTGTTTAGCTCTATTTTATGTTTTGGCTCTTTGATGAATCTAAAAACAATATATAATACTGTAACCTCACCCTAAACTATGTTTAAGTTACAATTCGTGGTAGGAAGAATTACAAAATGCAAGATTTATGAATAGTGAAAATAAAATATATTTTACTTTACGTAAAAAATTTGAGTAATAAAAATTAAAATTGAAGAAAATAAAACTTGAATAACAAGTTAATATTATAATAGTATTACAAAATTTTGAACTTGAACGAGGACATGTGCTAACGTAGGTTCATTCATGCTCTTAAGTAATGTTTTTGCTACGTAAATTGATTACTTATGTGTCAAAATTATATCATTACATACAAATTAAGAATTATAGAGTGGGTCATTTTTGTCTATTAATTAAATTTGGATAATCTAGAAAAATTATTAAGATGTACATATTATTAATATATAGGAAAGGTCATCATGCACATGTATTGACAATTTACGTTAAAATCTTGAATAAATTTTAAAATTGAGATTTTAAATATGAATTCAACAAAGAATGCATTAAAACATGATAACATGTTAAAAATTTAAAAAATCTCTTATTAGATTTGTGAAAAGTATATGTATGAAGTTATTATTAATGCCAACCCATATTCACATTTACTTATAAAAAATAATAAAAATATAGATTGCAAGCAACCCTTGAATCAGCCCTTTCTGAACTTGCATGGATTTAGGCTAATGTCCAAACTCATGTTTTTCAATTTCATAATAAATATTTTTTAAAAATGTTGCACATTCTCGTACTCACATATTCATGTAAACTACTTAGCTTAAATTAAAATTTTAAACTAAGTACTTAAGGTACAAGTGAATGAGTTTAAGCAAGTGAATTAGATTATGTTTAAAGTGGGAAAAACTTAAATAATAAGCTAATACTACAATGGTATGCAGATTTGAAATTGAATTGTCTAACGTATGATCATTTACGCACCTAACTATTATTTTTGCTATTATTCGATATTGGAAGTAAATGATTAATTATATGTCAACATTATATTATTACAACTACACTAAGAATTATAAAATGGTTAATTTTGTACAATGAATATCAAGCTAATATATAATGGTACTATAAAATTTTCAAATGAATTAGAACACATGTCCCGAGTCTAACGTAGGTTCATTCATTTATGCTCCTAACTATTGTTCTCACTTTTCCTCGTTATTACTTATATGTCAAAACTATGTTATTACATACAAACTAAGAATTATAAAATGATCAATCTTATATATTGATACTGGATTATCTAGAAATTTAAAAAAAAGAGACATGTTTATTATTATTCTTAAATATTTATTGTTAATTTAGATAAATTTTATCTAAAATGTTTTTTTATTTCTTATAATTATATAAGGATATTAATTAAAATAGAACAGACACTTTCAAATTGTCTTATTTAACTTGGGTCAAAATTAGTTAAAACAAGTCCACTCAATTTTTTTAATTTTATAATAAATATTAAGAAACTATTTAGGGTTCAATTTCAACCTCGCAACCATCGAACCTTCTCCCAACAGCATTGCTTTTGCCCATAGCCTTCATGATTTAAGTCAATAAAATACTGATTTATACGAGTTTTATTATTTTTATATATATTTTTAAGTTTTTAATATATAAAAAAGTGTATCTAACATTTTTTTTATTGGAAATATGAATCTAACTTGACAACTTAAACTTATAGCTTTTGTTATATAAATTTATTAAATTTAACAAAACTTATTAAAATCATGATTAAATAAATATACTGAAATATATTAAAATATAATTTAAATGTCTGTTAATTGTTAATTCAGCTATTCTTTTAGTGTAAGTTCAAATTAAGAAAATAAAATTACCATGTCCAAGAACGTCAGCATATCATCCAAGACTGCCATATCGGGAGGCGTTCGTAAGAATGTGGATTGGTTTCAATCAATTTGATAAATTTAGAGAGTCAAAATAAATTAGGTCACTTTAATTTATTTGTTTAAGTTTGAATTTAATCAAATTAAAACAAGATATACATTTTATAAATATTTAAAATTTGTCATATAATTATTTAAAGTAGTCAGATTTTTCTTCTTCTTTCTGCTTTCTCTTTCAAACGTGACTTTATTTCAGTTTAGACTATTTAAATCAATTAATTTAGATCAATTAGCAAAAGTTATCTAAACTTTAGTAATTAATAAGTAGTATAAATTTTAAAGCAAAATTTTCAATTCAAAATTTATATATATAAACTTTTTTTACTAATAAAAAAGTAATCTTACCATATGAACATTTTAACTAAAAAATATTATATTTCGTAAAAGTGTAATATATATATATATAAACTTTGTTAACTCAAAATCTCATGTTATATATAACTTGATAAATCCAACAAAACCAAGGCATTATTTATTCGGATTTAACATTATTAGAATTGATGAGAGCCGACAGGATTAGTAGGTAGCCTATAAGAGAGGTCAAAATTAGTTGGTACCCTTTGAGGGGATGCTAAGCCATTTTAGGTACTGAGCTACCTCACCTCCTTTAATTCAGGGATACCTTACCTTAGAACCTACAACCTTCCTACCAATTAGGAACACTATTTATTTATATATATATATATATATACTCTATAGTTAGGGATTTGTATAATTATTTATAGTCTTTATTTAACAATGTTTATTATTTTCTCTAATATAATCACGTTATATTAGTTAATAATACGAGAATCTAAATTATTTAATTATCTTACTCCACCACCGACTTGCTAAGTTACAACGAGCTTCATCAAACTTGTTCTTCTGATCATTACTATCTTATTAAAAAATATATTATATTATGTCATTTATTTATTTTTTTAAAAAGGTGAATTGTTAGTAGAGAAAACGGAGTAAACGAGTGAGGGCACCATTAAAGTGGTTGTTGACCAAAACGGTGTGCATTTAAAATATGGGACTGAAAAAGAATTTTATTTCCACAACACACAAAAATTTCCACTTAATTGGTTCACACACAAACCAAGAATGTTCAAAATGGTTGGTTCCTCGCTTTTGCCTAAGAATAGTTCTGGGTCTACCTTTTTGCAGAGGCTGCTGAATGCAACACCGTAGAGCATCGTTACGTTTCTAACTTGTTTTATTATAATTTAAGAGTTTGGCCCACTGAATGGAGATTGCGAGACTAAATAAACTTTATTTTATTTTATTCAAATTTGTGTTATGGTTGAAAATTGACTCAGACTAAAAAATAAAAAATTTATATTTTACTTTATTTTTAAAAACAAAAAATAATTAAACATACTCTAAATGT